AGTCTGGGATCCCTTCTCATCCCCCCTACCCCCCATCCTGCCCATCTTAGTCTCTGCCCCAGGAGTTAAATAATTTTTAAAACTATTTTAAAAGGTGTAACAAAATAACATCAAAGGAAATGGGAAGAAGGAAGAGGGGGGTCCAGAAATCATGAAAGAGGCAGAGAAGAGAGAGCCTCTTCCCCACACCCCCATCCAGATTCTAGACTGGGCAGGGAGAAATACCTCCCCTACCCACCAGGTATATCCCAGCTGCGGGTGAGGTCAAGGTATGAAAGTGCCGGTGTGTGTGAATAGGGAATGGGCAGAGGCATGTTGTTCAGAAGATGCCCCCTCCTCCCCACTCAACCATGTACTGCACAGAGCCATCAGGCCATATTCTTCTAGCAAGGACCCGGACAGGGTACCCTCGTGACAGGTAGCCAGTGCAAGCCCCACCTGGGGCTCCTCTCCCAGTCCCAGGAGACAAACTATGGCAGAGGGAAAATGGGGTGCTGACGCACCTCCTTAGCACCTACTATTTGTACCAGCCTGGAGCACTTAGTCTTGGAGAGCTACTTTCTCTTCACTCCAACATTTACATTAAGGGCAATAATCTTATATTTCTCTCTTAGCCCCATACCCATTACTGTCAAGTTGATTCCAACTCATAGCGACCCTATAGGGCAGAGTAGAATAGACCCATAGGGTTTTCAAGGTTGGAATGTTTACAGAAGCAGACTGCCAGATCTTTCTCCTGTGGAGCGGCTGGTGGTTCAAACTGCAGACCTTTGGTTAGCAGCCTAGTGCTTAACCACTGTGCCACCAGGTGTCCTTCTCTCTTAGCCCAGTACCTTATATATAAGGAATCTTAGCTGATGATTTTGACAATATTAATTGTATCTTGTTTCTGTGTGGTTCTTTACAACTGACAAAGGCTCTATCTTTATCCTGCCACAGCCCAAAGGAGGAGAACATGCTGAAATTTTCACAGCCATTTTATGGATGAGGAAACTGAGGCTCAAAGAGGTTATTTTTCTCAGGTCATAAAGCTTGTAAGTGTGGCCCAGATTTTTCTGGCTCCTGGTCCAATGATCTTACCCTTCACCTTTCTTTGGGTGCCTAGGAGAGAAGGGAGACAGTTAATGATGAATAAATAGCACGGGCTGGGGAAGCTAGGGCAGCTTCATGGAAGAGGCAGGACTTGAGCTGGGCTTTGAGGGATAGGTAGGTTTTGGCTCAGCAAAGAGGAATATGTGGGGCATTCAGTGAGAAAACCACAACTCCTTTGAAAACCAATCAATAAATTTTGTGATGAGCATAGAATGGTAGAATTAAGGGTTTGGGCATATTTTTTTTAACAGCAGCTTTATTGAGATATAATTTGCATACCATAAATTTCACACTTTTAAAGTGTACAATTCAGTGGTTTTTAGTGTCTTCATAGAGTCGTACACCATCATCCTATCTAATTTAAAACATTTTTATCACCCCAAAAAGAAACTCCACACCTATTAGCAGTCCCTTTGGCACTGGCAATCATTTTCTGTCTCTATGGACTTGCCTCTTCTAAATGTTTCATATAATATGTGAACTTTTGTGACTGGCTTCTTTTCACTTAGCATGTTTTCAGGGTTCATCCACATTGTACCATGAGTCAGTACTCCATTCCTTTTAATGGTTGAATAATATTCCATTGTATGTATATACCATATTTTGTCTATCCATTCATCTGTTGATGGACAATTGGATTGGAATAGGAGTGGAATTACTGGGTCATATGGTAACTCAATGCTTAACATTTTGAGGAACTGCCAAACTGTGTTCCAAAATGGCTGCACCATTTCACAATCCCACCAGCTGTGTGTGAGAGTTTCAATTTCTCTGTATCCTCACCAGCACCTACTTTCCTTTTCTTTTTTTTTAAATTACAGTCATCTTAGTGGATAGGAAGTGGTATTTTGTTGTGGTTTTGATTTGCATTTCCCTGATTAATGAAGTTGAGCATATTTTCATGTGCTTATTGGCCATTGGTATGTCTCTTTGGAGAAATGTCTATCAAATACTTTGCCCATTTTTTAATTTGAGATATTTGTATTTTTATTGCTGAGTTGTAAGAGTTCTTTGTATATTCTGGATACAAGTTTCCTTATTAAATATATGCTTTGAGAATATTTCCTCCCGTTCCATGGATTGGCTTTTCACTTTCTTGATCATGTCCTTTGATGCACAAAGTTTTAATTTTGATGAACACTATTTATCTATTTTCTCCATTGTTGCTTGTGCTTTTGGTGTCATATCTAAGAAATCATTGCCTAATCCAAAGTCAGTAAGATTTACACCTATATTTTCTTTTAAGAGTTTATAGCTTTAGCACTTACATTTAGGTCTGTAATCCATCTTTGAGTTAATCTTTGTACATGGTGTGAAGAAGGGATCCAACTTCACTCTTTTGCATGTGTTTATCCAGTTGTCCCAGCACCATTTGTTGAAGATTTCCTCTACCCCTCCCCCATTTAATTGTCCTGGTACCCTTGTTGAAAATCAGTTGATCGTAAATGTAAAAGTTTATTTTTGAACTTTCAATTCTATTCCATTGTTGGTCATATTTTTAAAGAGCTATTTCTGTAGTGGCACAGGAGTGAAGAGCTCCACTGCTAACCAAAAGGTACGCAATTTGAAACCACCAGCCGCTCCCTGGAAACCCTATGGGGCAGTTCTACTCTGTCCTATAGGGTCGCTATGAGTCGAAGTCAACTCAATGGCAATGGGTTTGGGTTGTAATTGGTAGTCCATCCTTTCCTGGAAGAAAGATGGAGAGATGGCGATATCTCCCAGACTGCATTTCTTCGGGCAGGTCAGGTTAGCGAGGTGGGAGAGACCCTCTGAAAAATGCTTGGTCTCTGGTGCTCTTTGCACTGGCCTCATTGTAATTCCATTTTCCTGTAGGTTTCAGAGTCCCTCTCCATTGCTGTGCTGGGAGCTGGGGAGGTAGCTGACTGACCAGAAGACCTTATCGCTTTGCTACCTCTCGAGGTTATTATGGATATCAAATTTGATAGTTTACGTAAAATAATTTAGAAAGGTCTAAAGTGCTATACAAATGTAGGATGTGTTCTTCCTATTATTATCCCTAAACCTCATGAGTAGAGCCAGTGGTAGAATTCTTGCCTTCCGTGTGGGAGATCCAGGTTTGATTCCTAGCCAATGCACCTCATGCATAGCTACCACCCATGTGTCATTAGAAACTGCATGTTGCTGTGATGCTCAACAGGTTCAGTGAAGCTTCCAGACTAAGAAAGACTAGAAAGAAAGGCCTGGCTGTCTACTCACGAAAATCAACCAGTGAAAACCCTATGGATCATAATATTCTGAACCGCAACCCATCATGGGGGTGGCGCAGGACCAGGCAGTGTTTCCTTTCATTGTGCATGGGGTAGCCATGAGCTAGGGGTCAACTGACAGCAGCTAACAGCTCTCATGAGTAAGACTCTAAAAATAGAAGTTACTTTTAACTTTTACTCATTGGGATCAAGGCTGTAGTATCTACATTATTGCAAATTCCAAAATAGTGAGGTTTGGCTCTGTGCTATTCTGGCAAGGGGTGTGAGTTTACCACCGAGTGTGAATATATGTGTTGGTCATTCCTTCCTTCCACATTCCTCCTTCTTGAATGGGGGTCTACTTTGTGCCAGGCACTGTGCTAAGCTCTGGGAAAACCACAGAGAATTAGGCAGATGCCCTCTCTGCCCTCCTGGAGCTTACGGTTTAGTGGGGAGGCTGTTCAACTCAACAAGCTATCGCAATAAGATATGAGCATGGGGGAGGTCCAGAGTGATGCCCCCGGCCAGCAGGGCTAGGAGAGGTGGGAGGGGGAGGGGGGTCAGTTTGTTCAGGGCAATCAGGGGGTTTAGATTATCTCTCCAACCCCGTCTAGCCTTTTGGTTTCATGATTTTTCAGTGAGGCTGAGGCTAATCAAAGCTGAACTCAGTCCCCACACTGTTAGGCTTAAGAATGAACTCATGACAAGGGACGCCTGTTCTAGCCCCCTCCTAGTGCGGTTCTTCAGGCTGAAACCTGCCTTCATCCTGCCTTTCCTGTCCCCTGCTCTAGGTTTCTTTGCTGACAGTGGCGAAGGGCTCCCTCTCCTGCTCTACCCCTCCTCCCGGGTCTGCTGGGCCACAGCCTTCGAGCCACTATCAAAAATCGCCTCCCACTGCCAAGCCTCCTTAGGAACTTGGAGGGAGCGGAGGGGCCCCCCAGTGGAGAGACTGCATCCTCCCAGAGGACAGCGGCTCATTTTCCCCCTCAAAGCCTGGAAAACCAAGCTGTCAGGCTGACTTGAGAGCCAGGTGGCTATGAGGGAGCCCAAGCCCACTGCATCCACTTAGCCAGCCCTGAGTGCACCTGTGTCCCCTGGTGTCCACTGGTATTCTAAGCCAAGCGCATGGGGGACAAGTGTAAGGGGAAAGCACAGGCAGGATGGAGGTGGGAAAAGCTAGCCCCCCTCTCACATCCCTTCTCTCCCCTCTCCAGTGTTTAATGACAACACTGACAACGCTGGGGGTGGTTGCCACGGTCTTCTTCTCCCCACCTTCCTCCTCACTTCTACCCCCCACCCTCCTTCATACACCTCTCCCCAGGCATATCATCTGACAGCTGAGCAGGATCTCACAGATGTATGCGGGGTCACACAGCCTCCTGCATGCACTCCATTTGACATGGTGCCACACATGTCCCTCAGACCCCCAGATGCCATATACACACAGATACCCAGGGGCCAAAGTGATCCCTAAGGTCCCAAACGGATGACTGGGTTGGGGTCTTCTAAGGTCAGCCCAGCCTCCATGTCTCCCATCATCCCCTCTTCCACACCCATGTTGGAGTCATCTGCTGGGGTAAAAGGTCCTCTCACCTTTAGGGGACAGACTCAGTGGTGGGGAGGTCTCTCACCTCCACAACCACCTTGTGCATCCAGAGGATGCCACTGTCGTCCCCCACCCCCTTGTCACTGCGGCACATGTGGAGGGAGACAGGGAAGAACTGGATGGGGCGGAGGGTATGTGGAGATGTGAAGTGACAGGGAGATAACCACTAAACCTGCCTGGATCTTAATTTCTTCATCTCTAAAACAAGGGGCTTGTTCTAACCTCTAGGGCTTCTTGTAGCTCTCAAATTCTGCAAGTCTGAGGTTCTATGACTCTTTTGGGATAATGTGTGATTATTTCTTCGTGAGCGACTGACAGCTCGTATCCCCACGTAGGAGGAGGGCGGGTGTGCCAGCTCTCCTGTGCCTCTCCTGCCCTCCTCCCAGAGCAGCCCTTCCATTCTTTCCCCCTTCCTGGCAAACCCCCACCCCACCCCCGCAAGTCCCCAGGTGACAGGGCTGCTCTGGGCGTCTGGCAGCCCCTCTCGAAGGCGGGCCCTGAAGCCTAAACTCCCCCAGCCCGTGCAGGCCACACCCACCGGGACAGCCCCTTGCGGGAGCTGGACCTCGAAGGGATCATTAACCCTCTCCCTGCCGCACTCGCAGCGCCGGCTGACACCCCCAGCCCCCCTTGTCACTCTGGAGCCCAGAGAGGCCTGGGGAGGGGAGGCCGGAAAGATGGAAAGCCAGAGCCCCGTGGGCTCAGTGATGGCAGAGAGGGGGTCCCTCGGCTTGGCGTCCTGTGTGAGAGCCTAACCTAACCTCCAGGCCGCCGCCGCGGGCGCATCTCCCCGGGCCGCGCGGCCCCTCCCTGGGACGGCGCCCCTGCCCGGGGCGGGCCAGGAAGCCCCGGTCCCCGCCCCGCTCGGTCAGGTCGCGCGGCCCGGGGACTTTGGAGCCGGGAGGAAGCGCAGCGGTGGGGAGGGGGTGTGTCGGCGGCAGGGTTTTATAACCCGCAGGCGGCGCGTGGGAGAAGGGGCAGCGCCGGCCGTGCACCTCGCAGCGCACCGCGCCCGCACCCGCACCATGGGGACTGTGCCAGGCCGCCCGGGGCCGCTGCCGCAGCCGCTGCTGCCGCTGCTGCTGCTGCTGCTGCCGCGGCCGCCCGCCGCCCTGGAGCTTGACCCCGGGCTGCAGCCGGAAAACTTTGCCACCACCGAGGACGGGGCGCGGCAATTCGCGCAGAGCTTCAATTCGAGCGCCGAGCAGGTGCGGTTCCTGAACACAGTCGCCAGCTGGGCGCACGACACCAACATCACCGCCGAGAATGCGCAGCGCCAGGTGGGCGCCGGGGCACGGGGCGCGGGGGCGGGGCCGGGGCGGCCAATCACAGGCCTGCGGCGGGGTGGGGGGGTGGGGGACGGGGAGTCACCGCTGAGCGTAGGGGGCTCCCCCGCACTGGAACCTGCGGGCCGTCCCCACCTACACCCACGCCCCCTCCCGCCGTATCAGACCGGCGGTGCGTGTCAGCACGGTGCTGGGCACAGGGTGCGTGCCCAATACATGAATTGAGCGGAGGCCTGCTCCTCCGAGACCAAGTTCCCCCAGATGACAGATCCCAGGGATGACATGGGGCTGGGTCGGCGGCAGCCTTAGCAGAGGGCGCCCGCGTGCCCTGGGTCCCTCACCCTTTCTGACAGCTGCCCCCTCCCCAGGGAACATTGTTCCGGCTTCTACTCCTCATTGTCCATTCCCTCCCTCTGCCTCTCTTCCTGGCCCCAATTTCTCTCCATTGCTCCCCTGAGGCAGAGCCCCCAGGTCCCGACCCAGAGGGCCCAGGAGGAGGGACACTGGTCCCCAAACCCCAGAATCCCCCACCTCCAGGTCAGGTGCCTCCACAGGGCAGAGGTCTGGCTGCCCTTGGCCTTCCTCCCCTCCCCCAGCCAGGTGGCCTCCCCTATTTGGCCTCCTCATGACCTCCCTGTGCCCTCTTGTGCCCTCCTGGTGCCCACAGGAGGAGACAGCCCTGCTCAGCCAGGACTTCGAGGAGGCCTGGGGCCACAAGGCCAAGGAGCTGTACGACAACATCTGGGAGAACTTCACTGATGCAGAGCTACGCAGGATCATCAGCGCCATCCGCATCCTGGGCCCTGCCAACCTGGCCCTCACCAAGCGGCAGCAGGTGGGCCCTCTGGGCCTGAGAGGTGGGGGCAGAACTGGTGGGGAAGCGGCCTCACCTGCCTCCCCCACTGGGCTGCAGCCTGGCAGAGAGGGGTCCCTAAATGTAGAAAGACTTCCTGAAGCATGAAATTCCTTGGAGATGGAGTGGGGAGTTACGTTACATTAAAGCAAATATTGTGGAGTAGAAAGGAAAATTCAAGTAAAAGATCAAATGGTGGGCTTCATAATTTCTCCAGAGGCCGGTTTGGTTTATGGCCTTCCTTAGAAAGGTCTTAAAGGACTGAAGGAGGCACCAAGGCCAGAGAATGAGAAGAGTTTGTCCTCACTGTAAGGTGGCAACCAAGGCGGTGTCCAAGCCACCTCCCTTCTCTAAGCCTCCTTTTCCTTCTGGCAAAAAGAGGAGGGGATGGCGAGAGATCTCTGGGGGGCTGTTTATCACTAACATTTTTTCAACTCTGACTCCCCAGTACAACTCTCTGCTAAGCAACATGAGCAGGATTTACTCCACATCCAAGGTCTGCTTCCCCAACAAGACTGCCACCTGCTGGTCCCTGGACCCAGGTAAGGCCCTGTCCCTCTGTCTCTGTGCCGGGGTTTGCCACCTCTTCCCCATCACCCTGATGCACCAAGGAAGACAGCATGTGTGTTGAGAGGCCTGTGGAGAGAGTGGGTAAACCCCAAAGGCATTGGCCTCCAATGGGGTCTGGGCTGTGTGGATGCCCCACACCCGTTTCCCCTGGTGAATTGACTTCAGGAACTTGCCCTCTGTGTGCCTTGGCCTCTCCCATCATTAGTCCTTCCTCCTGGCTGCCTGGTTTTCCCTTTCTCCCCAGGAGCCTTCCAGAGGCCTTGGACTCCTCATGGCTTCCTTTATACCCTCCTGCTCCCCCTCAACCCCATATACCAGGAATAGTTGAGGTCAGCTACTCCACCCGATGAGCCACAGAGGGTCTGGGTTTTGGCCCTCTGGATACCCTCTTCCTGTGCCAGCCACCTTAGATCATCGTTTTCCTGGGACAGGGACCCTGCCTGGGTACCTGCTTTGTATAGCTCCCAGCCTGTCCCGCCCAGCTTGTAGGTTGCCCTTCGTTTTGGGGGTATCATGACATTGAGGATGCTGGAGGAAATGGTAAGGACCACTGTGGTACCCCGGTGAGGGCTGAGAAGGTGTTGCAGACTTCCATGTGGAAGTCTCCTAACTGGCCCTGCCTGCCTGTGTCTCAGAGCTCACCAACATCCTGGCCTCCTCACGGAGCTACCCCATGCTGCTGTTTGCCTGGGAGGGATGGCATGATGCTGTGGGCATCCCGCTGAAACCCCTGTACCAGGACTTTACCGCCCTCAGCAATGAGGCCTACGAGCAGGATGGTGAGCATGTCTCTCCTGGCCCACAAGCAGCACCTCTTGGGTGGGTGCAGCCCTTCCCAGCTGGCAAGGTGCCCTCCCACTTGCTGTCTCTGCTGAGCCACAATGCCCAGAGGAGCTGTTAGGCTGAGTCCCATATACTGGCCAGAGAGGTTAGGGAGCTGCACAAGGCTGCACAGACAGTGGATGGTGGAACTGGACTTGAACCCAGTCTGCTTGCCACAAGCTGCTGTCCTGCCTTCACGTCACCTCTCCTGCCTGGCACTCCTGGTGCTGCCCCCCAAGCCCAGGACTCATCTTCACCTCTGGTGCTGTCTGAGATCTACTTAGCTGGAGCCTGGAGCAACCCCTAGTTACAGAAAATCATACAGTGGTAGACGCCCCAGCTATCCACCCCAGCTAGCTGGCAGACACACAGGCCTGGAGAATGGCCAAGGAGTGGCGGGGAGGTGGAGGTGCCAGAGCCTGGAGCCTGAGCCGCCCCCCTTCACTCCCACTGCTAGGCTTTTCTGACACAGGGGCCTACTGGCGCTCCTGGTACGAATCACCCACCTTTGTAGAGGATCTGGAACACCTCTACTATCAGTTAGAGCCCCTCTACCTGAACCTCCACGCCTATGTCCGCCGCTCACTGCACCGCCGATACGGGGACAAGTTCATCAACCTCAGGGGACCCATTCCTGCTCACCTGCTGGGTAAGGGCCTGGCCTTGCCTCCAGGCGTGTCCCAGAGAAGCCTGGGCCCAGGGGGATGCCCAGAGTAGGGAAGGAGGATCGCCATCATCATCTCTCATACTGTGCTGGTCACCTCCCCGTGCCTGAGCTAGTGGAGTGCTCCCAACGCCACCATGAAACGAGCTATCCCTTTCATTGCAATTATTGTTCCGACTTTACAGACAGGGACCCTGAGGCTTAGGGTGTAAAAATGACTTGGCAGAGGTCAGAGAACTAGTAAAGGCAAAGCTAAGATTTAAATGAAGCTTCTGACTCCAGGTCCAGCGGAGGAGGACTAATAGTCCTAGCTGATGCCCACAGAATTGAGCCCGTGGCCCTCAGGGCCGGGAGGCAGGGACCACACACAGCCAGAAAAGACCCCAGCAGCATCGTCTGGGCCCTCTAGTGCATCCGCCAGCCCCAAGGAGCTCAGAGTACTCAGTGGGGGTGGGGTCGGACTCATGTGTGACCCTCCTGCCCCTGAGCCAGCCAAGTGGGGTCGGCTGTCCTAGAGTGCCCCAGAGACCAGGTGATGGGGTCCCAGGTGTTGCTTGGTGACAATCATGGGGCAGCAGGCGCTGGCTCAGCAGGGGCCAAGCTGAGTGGCTTCCCTCGTCCATCTAGGAAACATGTGGGCCCAGAGCTGGGAAAACATCTATGACATAGTAGTGCCTTTCCCAGACAAGCCCAACTTGGACGTTACCAGTACTATGGTGCAGAAGGTAAGTTCTGGAGTCAGGGCTGGGGTGGGGACAAGAGGGAGTCAGGACAGGAAGAGGGGCAGGACAAGGCCACATGAGGGCAGCGGAGTTGAGTAGGGGCCTCGGGCCCTCCCTTTGTACAGAGAAGCAGCTTGGGTTGTATGTCCCAGCGGCCTAGGCGAGGAGAACTGGGGTCTGTCTCCTCAGTGAGGCACCAGCCCTCCCTCCGAGCCCCCCGGGGGTGGAGTATGAGCAATGTCTGCTTCCATCTCTCGGCTGTGGTCAGTTCGAGGCCCTGTCTCTGGGGAGGGAGGCCACAGAGCAGAGATGTCCTTCACAGGCAGGTAGCTGACCTGGTAGGGGAGCCCAGACCTCCCCTAGGAAGTCAGAGTGGGCTCTTGGCAGCTGGCCCCTGACCTGTGCCCACCTTCCCCCCCTACCCAGGGCTGGAATGCTACACACATGTTCCGGGTGGCAGAGGAGTTCTTCACCTCCCTGGGCCTCTTGCCCATGCCACCTGAGTTCTGGGCACACTCCATGCTGGAGAAGCCGAGCGATGGACGGGAGGTGGTATGCCACGCCTCTGCCTGGGACTTCTACAACAGGAAGGACTTCAGGTCTGGACATGGGATGGGGAGGGGCTGGGGAAGGGCAGGGCAGCCTGGGAACAGAGAAGCTGGCTTCCAGGCCTGTGCCCTCCCAGGCTAGGGTGCTGGGGCTCTTCCAGGGCTGTGCGCATAGAGACCTTTTAGGCTGCCTTCCCCCAGCAGGCTTGGAACGCAGGGAGAAGGCTTTCGTGGTAGTGGTGCGGGGGGCAGGGTAAAGGACCTTCATGCTTCCAACAGCTCCTCCAAGCCCCAGGACAGGGTCCCTTAGTCCTACCCCTCAGGTGCCAGGCTCCTCCCAGGGCTTTGGTCCCTGCCCAGCCCTGTCCTTCTCCCTCATCTTCGGCCCTCCCCACCCAGGATCAAGCAGTGCACGCAGGTCACAATGGACCAGCTGTCCACGGTGCACCACGAGATGGGCCACGTGCAGTACTACCTGCAGTACAAGGACCAGCCAGTGTCCCTGCGCCAAGGTGCCAACCCTGGCTTCCACGAGGCCATTGGGGATGTGCTGGCACTCTCGGTCTCCACTCCTGCACATCTGCACAAAATCGGCCTGCTGGACCAAGTCACTGATGACACAGGTATGGGAGGCTGGGGAGGGCCCAGATCAGGCCCACCTCAACCCCATCGACCCCACAGCAGGGCCCACGTGCCACACTTACATCTGCCCTAGCTCAGGCAGGGTGGGGATCCACACAGAGATTCCCAGCTCGCCCTGAGCCTCAGTTCAACACTCTCCGATGGTCCTCTCCCAAGTGTGTCTGCCTACCCTCACTTCCTGCAGGCTCCTCCCCAGCCCACCCTCTCCTAGCTGGACTCCTCCCTCTGACCTCTCTCTTCTCATCTCCCAACAGAAAGTGACATCAATTATCTGCTAAAGATGGCACTGGAAAAAATTGCCTTCCTGCCCTTTGGCTACTTGGTGGACCAGTGGCGCTGGGGGGTCTTTAGTGGGCGCACCCCCCCTTCCCGCTACAACTTTGACTGGTGGTATCTCCGGTGAGCAAAGAGGAACAAGAAAGCCCTCCTGGCCCTCCCCACCCTCCTGGGCAAGCAGGAGCCTCCTGCCCTGGTCAGCCCTAGCCCCCTCTCTCCAATGACGTAGTCTCCCTCCTTTTACCCACCATGTTCTTCTTTCCCACTTAAAACCCCCTCCTCCAGGAAGTCTTCCCCAATTCACCAGGGTAGGGAAGGGATGGCTGGGTGGGAATGATCACCTCGTAGCCTTTTCTGGAAAAGCTAAATCTGCCAGCCTGTGTGTGGCCCCTTCGTCGTAAGACAGTTTAACCATCCTCTTCTAGAACCAAGTATCAGGGGATTTGCCCTCCAGTGGTCCGAAACGAAACCCACTTTGATGCCGGAGCTAAGTTTCATGTCCCAAACGTGACACCATATATCAGGTACTGTTGGCCCCCCACCCCCCAACTCTGTCACCTTCAGTCCCCCTCCCACTGTGGTCCTGGCAGCCCCGTCCCATGGCTTGTCCCCATGCTCTTCCTGACCCCCCCCTCCAAGGGCCTCGAATCAGGGTGGCCCTCTCTCCTTTGTCCTGAGCCAGGCTTGGTTCTCCCTTCTTCCCCAAGACAGCTTCTGGCCCCGCCTCTGCCCTGCAGGAAGGTGGGTGGTACCTGGGTAGGGACCCCGGTTCCTGGCCCTACACCCCCCTGATGCCCACCCTGTGCCTGCAGGTACTTTGTGAGTTTTGTCCTGCAGTTCCAGTTCCATCAAGCCCTGTGCAAGGAGGCAGCCCACCAGGGCCCGCTGCACCGGTGTGACATCTACCAGTCCACCCAGGCGGGGAACAAGCTCCGGTGTGTGGTGGGAAGGGGAGCAGGTGGGCAAGGGAGGGGAGGAGCAGAGGAGGTGGACAGAGGGTGGGTTTGGAAAGCAACTGGCTGTCCTGGGTTAGGGTATCACAGGGCTGGGGCATCACAGGGCTAGGATGATGCAGGGCTACCTCCCTTTCTCCCTCCCAGCCCCCTTCCTTCCTTTCTCTTAATAAGTATTTCTTGAGAGGGCCTTCTGGCTGGCATGGAGAAAGACAAACATCCCCCGACACCCTTCATAGAGTCCAGTGCGGGTGTAAGGGTGGGCTGGTCTCAGGCTTCAGCCTGAGCTCCCTGTGCCCGCGGTTGCCCACTCTGCTCCAGAGAGCTTCTTCGGGCAGGCTCCTCAAGGCCCTGGCAGGAGCTGCTGAAGGACATGATCGGCTCAGATACCCTGGACGCCCAGCCGCTGCTCAACTACTTCCAGCCGGTCAGCCAGTGGCTGCAGGAGCAGAACCAGCGCAATGGCGAGGTCCTGGGCTGGCCAGAATATCAGTGGCGCCCGCCACTGCCCGACAATTACCCGGAAGGCATTGGTAAAGCCCAGGGTGAGGTGGGGTGGGCACTAAGGTGAGTCCCCAGGGTCCGGTCAGCTCCTCCCAGCTGAGCCCTGCACCAGCAGAGCCCTGGGATGGGCTTGGGCCTGTCTCTCCCCGGATCTGAGGGCCCCCGGGGGCAGGCTGGCCGCACACGGCTCTATGAGGTCATACTGTAGGCTACGCTCTTATTGGCCAAGGGCTGGTGGCTGCAGGGCTCTGCTCTCCTGCGGCCATGGGCCAAGGTTGGGCTCCTCCGGGACTGCCCAGCCTCCTCCTCCTGCTGCTCTGCTGTGAGCAACCCCTGCTGGTCCCCGGCCAGGTGACAACCAGCCAGACAGCAATCACCCAAGGGATAATCAGCCAGACCACAACCAGCCAGACCACAACCAGCCAGACCTCAACCAGCCAGGCCACAACCAGCCAGACCACAACCAACTGGACAACCCAGAGCCCAAGTGGGACTGGCGGGCTGGGGGAGGGGCAGGGCAAGGGAGGGGCGAGTAGGAGAGGCCGGGGTGGCAGGAGGGGTCCCAGGAGGAGGTGGAGGGCAGAGACGGGAAGGAAGGGCTTGTCTATTTTCCTCCACTCTGTCCCACAGACTTGGTGACAGATGAGGTTGAGGCCCAGAAGTTTGTGGAAGAATATGACAAGACAGCCCAGGTCATCTGGAACGAATATGCTGAGGCCAACTGGAACTACAACACCAACATCACCCAAGAGACCAGCAAGATTCTGGTGGGAGACATCTCCACACCACACACCACACACACACATGCACACTGACATGCGCACACATACACATACAGACCACATGAACACAGACACACACATCCAAGTGTACACACCACACACACACACACACACACACACACACACTCCCACTCCTGGGTGCCTTGGCTGCCCCCACCCGGGACCTTACCTCCAAAACAGAAGAGAACCTGGGCTGGGGGCCCCGCCTGTCCCTCCCCTGGTATCACCTCAGAGAGATGGCGGCGGGGGAGGGGAATGGCTCTCAGAATTTGTGAAAAATCCAAATGAAATATTTAAAGCAGTATTCAGGTTCATATTTGGGTGGGCATATACTCAATACCTGAACAATTTTTCTCTCACTACTAGTTTCTTCTTAAAAACGGGATAATTTGTACATAAATAAGTGATGCTACAGTCGTTTTCTGAAAGATTGAAAGGCTGTTTGCCACCATAGCGAGGGCCACGTTGCCCCTCCACCCTCCTTCCCCACCTGCTTGGTTGAGCACAGGTGATACCAAAGTGAGCTGCAGCCCAGCCACAGAGAACTAACATTGCTTGAAGACCTACTGTGTGCTAGGCACTGTTCCTTGGCGCTGACATTTGTTGCCTTGTTCATTCCTCAACAGCCTTGCAAAACTGATGCTCTTATTCCCATTTTAGAGATAGGACCCTGAGCCCAGAGCCTGAGATCACCGAGCTAATACCAAGCTGCCTCATTCCTAACAACCTTTAAGACACATGGGGGGCTTCCCCTTCTCCAGCCTGACAGGATATGTCTCCCTGGACTGTTTGCATCTGTCCAGGGCACTTACTGCCTTGGGACATTATTACATAGTCCAGGCTGAAGAGAGTCTTTTAGGCAAAGGCAGCCATTTGCAAACTGTCCCCCTCACCCCCAACCCGAGTCCCCTTGGCTCCCCCACCTCCGGTCCCCATCAATGGTACCTCCTGCTCAGAGACCTCTCCATAGCTCCTGGGCCTCATGACACTGTCTCCCTGTGCCCTCAGCTGCAAAAGAACCTGGAGTTGGCAAACCACACCCTGAAGTATGGCACCTGGGCCAGGCAGTTTGATGTGACCAACTTCCAGAACACTACCACCAAGCGGATCATAAAGAAGGTTCAGGACCTGGATCAGGCGGCGCTGCCTGTTGAGGAGCTGGAGCAGGTGTGTAGTTTGGGGGTAGCGGGGAATGAAGAATCCAAGGTTGAGGTCAGGGCCCAGCTTCGAGGAGTGAGCCCAGCATAGGGCCTGACCTTCGCGCTGCTTCCTCCTCTTTGATTTATTGAAATGCTACAGCTGCCAAGCCGACAGACACCTACAGAATTACTGCAAAGGCAGCACTTTGGAAACATGCTCCCTCAGCCCCTCTACTCTCCCAGCTCTTCTAGATGGGGGACTGGGGCAGAGCAGGCAGTAGAGGGGCCAGGAGCCAGGGGCTGCAGCTCACTGCCTCTCTTCTTCTCTGCAGTACAACCAGATCCTGCTGGACATGGAGACCACTTACAGCGTGGCCTCCGTGTGCCATCTAAATGGCACTTGTCTACAGCTAGAGCCTGGTGAGCACACCTGGGGGATGAGTGAGAGTCTAGGGGCTGGGTGCATAACGTTGGCGGTGCTGGCAGGTGAGGTCTTCCTAACTCATGGGATTGGCACGCCTGGCCTAGTCCTCTTCTCCGCCAGCGGCTTCTCTGCACCACTTAGGTCCAGTGCACGGCCCCTCCCTGGGATCCTCCCCTGTGCCCTCTGGTCCCCTCAGGACACTCCATTCCCCCTCTTTGACTGGAGCCAGGTTTCTCCACACTCTGCCCCTCAGAGCAGTGGATTTCAGGGGCTTGGACTCCGTACTTGGAGCGCCAGTGGAGACTTAACTCCAGGCACCTTCCCATCCATCTGCCTTCCTATTCTTGTCTTCCACCTGCTCTGGCTCTCTGACCCCCACCCCCACCCCAGACAGGATGGGTCAGCCAGCTGGTAGGCACACAGAACCTGGCCTCCCGACTCCTCAGCCTATGCTGTTTCCACTCCACTTCCTCCACGCCACTTCCTGCTGGGCGCCAGCGCACTGGCTCTGGGTTGCCCCCTCTGCCTCCCTCCACTCCAGCTGGCTCTTCCAACCCACTCGCCAGCCCATGACATCCAAGTCCCTGCATACAGACACTTCCAAGGCCGGGAGCTAGAGGAGTAAACATCCCTCCTAGAGGAATCTCCACCCAGAAATGGTCTCTTCCTGGCTCCCCACCCAGCTCCCACGTTAGAACAATGACAAATAGGAAGGGGAATGGAAAATAAACAGGAGAGAGAAACCGTTTTTCCCGAAACAGGGGTTGAGTCTGTAGGTTGTGTATGTGGGCAAGCACGCAAGCGTGGGAAGAGGCACGTGTGTGTGTGTGTGTGTGTGTGTGTGTGCGCGCGCGCGCGCGCGTGAGCACGTCCGCATATGGAGAAGAGCATTAAAGGGAGTGTGACATCCAGCCCCCTACTGGCCAGCCTCTTAATCCCAGGCTGGGCCAGCAGGTCACACTACCATGTAGTAAAAATAAGAAGCACCCATAAAAACCAGAGACTCACATCACCAGGGGATAGATGCGAAATCCTCGGAATAAATTCTTTCCAGACAAAATTAATTTGATTTTACTTTCTCCGTGAGAAATGAGTAGATACCATGCAGCGTGTTCTGAAATAGGATGAGAGTGCGAGTCAAATAGCGAGGGCTCGGCTAGCACCGAATGCCCTCTGCATTCTTCCGCCTCAGGCAGGGCCAGGGCAAGGGGAAGCCATCCCTTATGCCTGTGAGAAGCTCCAGATTGACATCCTGATCTCACGTGATCCTCGCCCCAGCTCTGTGAAGCAGGTTTTAGCTCCATATTATAGTCCAGGAGGCCACACACTTAGTGGGTAGCTTCGGCAGGATGGAAACCTGAACTTCTGGCTCCCTGAGGATGCTTGGTTCTTCGTACTCTCACAGTCTTCACAACTGTTCTTTTATTCAGTCCAGTTCAATACCAATTCATGGACCTGAGGAGGGGGATGACACAGAGATGAAAGAGGCACAGCCCTGCTCAGGGGCCCCACACTCCAATTTGATCTGCACTCCCCTGTGAGGGCTGGTGGTGGTGGTTGTCAAGGAGTCAATTCCGACTCATGGCAACCCCATGTGTTACAGAATAGGATTTTCTTGGCTGTAATCTTTACAGAAGCAGATTGCCAGGCCTTTTCTTCTTCGACAGCGCTGGGTGGGTGCAAACTGCCAACATTTAGGTTAGCAGTTGAGCATAAACTGTTTGCGCTACTAGGGACCTTGTGAGGGCCGATATCATCCCCATCTTCCAAAACCAACCAAACCCATTGCTGTCGAGTTGATTCTGACATAGCAACCCTGGAGTACAGAGTAGAACCCTACAGGACAGAGAAAAGCAGCTGGTAGATTCGAACTGCTGACCTTTTGGTTAGCAGCCAAGCTCTTAACCACTGTGCCACCAAGGCCCCATTCCCATCTTACCGACAGGGAAAGAGTGGTCCAGTGACCTGCCCAAGGTGATATCGGTGGTTAGTGATAGGACCAGAAGAACTCGAGTCTTTTGGCCTCCAAGCCATCTCCCCCTAGGGGCAGAAGGGTGGTAAGCAGGAACAAACAAGCAGAGACTCTGGAGTCTGACGCCTTTGGTTTGCACCCCAGTTCTGCCCCTTCCTTGCTGGAGGACCCAGCCATGTTACCAAACTGCTCACATGGAAGAGGGACAGCATGTGCCTCACGGGTTGTTGAAACCCTGCAGCTGCGTGAAAGCGCGTATGTGCAGCGCCCAGCCTAGGCCTGGCACCGCGTAAATTCCCGGCAAATGTTGCTCCCACCCTTTCTCCCATTTCACTAGACTTGAGGCCGGTACAGACACTTCCACATGATCATACCAGGTTTATTCTAGCTCTGAAATTCTACAGCTGGGTTCACCTTTAGAGGAGGCCAGAGCTGAGCCAAGGGCTGGGAACTCAAGCCTTTCAACGCCCTTCTGCTTCCAGATCTGACGAAGCTGATGGCCACATCCCGGAACTATGAAGAGCTGTTATGGGCATGGGAGGGCTGGAGAGACAAGGTGGGGAGAGCCATCCTTCCTCTTTTCCCCAAATACGTGGAACTCAGCAACAAGGCTGCGAAGCTCAACGGTGAGTCCTTCTTGCCAACAACAGCTGCTCTCTGGACCCCGATCCTTCTGGAGTTCCTCAGAGAGGTCCTCTGTGTCCCTAATGCTGGGGAAAAGTAGGCCCTGAGGAAACAGGCAGGTGTTCTGAGACCCTGGCTCTGTCCCTTCTGCAGGCTACAAAGATGCAGGGGACTCGTGGAGAGCTATGTATGAGACACCATTGCTGGAACACGACCTGGAGCTGCTCTTCCAGGAGCTTCAGCCACTCTACCTGAACCTGCACGCCTACGTGCGCCGTGCCCTGCACCGCCACTATGGGCCCCAGAACATCAATTTGGAGGGCCCTATTCCTGCACATCTACTGGGTGAGGGCAAGTGCTGGGCTCTGAGTTGTGGGGGTGAGGGTCAGGACAGGGCTGGCCAGGGGGCAGAGAGCAGGCTGGGAAGGGGCTGCAGATGGCGCTTCTGGTTGAGAGAGTGAAGACTGAACAAGGAGGGAATGTTGCCAAGGCTGGGGGCGGAGAAGAACCCCTACTCGCATTTGGTATCACATTTGCTACAGATCCACATTGTGCAGGTCACCATAGATGGGAAGGAGGGATTACAAAGGTGTTCCCAATCTCATCTGGGGAGACCTCCTCAGCCACCATAATTTGAGGCAGCGTACTACAGGAGGGTGAGGAGGGTGCTGTAGGGGGAGCTGGGAAGGCTTCACCCAGAGGTGGTATTGAGCCTTGAAAGATGAGAGGTTTTGACAGATGGATAATGGGGGCCTGATGACGGCACAGACCCAGCATTCGGGCTAAGGGAGCTAGGAGAACAAGGAAGAACCTCGAGTAGGTAGATACACCTCAACTTTTGCATCCTCATTTTTCAGGGGTTGTAAATACAAGTATCTAAGGCAGGAGACTGCATAAAATAGGCAGTGAAAGATAATAAGGAGTTGTAGGGACTGGAGCAAAGTAGAGGCTACCAGTTTTCTGTCCCTGTTGGTCCACGGGAAACACTTTCCAGGGGGCTACAACACCCACAGTACTGTGAGCAGAGAGGCCAGCCAGGGCCACAGACCATTTACAAATCAAGGGAGACCCAGAACCTGGGGCAAGATGGTCCAACTTTGGGTCTAGTTTTCTGCTCAGCCTGGAGAGTTTTTGTAGCCCAAGACTAGCCCTCCTTGATCCTTCTCTGGTGGGACCAAAGAACATCAGGGTGGACATCAGCTCAATGACTGAGGAACAGAGACCCCAAAAAGGGGAGCAACATGCCCAGGGTGGCTCAGGGAGCTGAGGCAAAGCTTGTGTTACAACTCAGCCCCCTGACGATCAGACAAAGAGGAGTGGCCACTCACTGGCTCACTCACGTGCTCACGCTCATTCTCTCTCTCTCTTTCACCGTTTTAAGCTGGAAACTCCAATCTGATGTAAATTCAAGCTTAATCCCCCTTGGCTATGAAAGAGTCTCTACTACAAACATACTCCTGAATCTTTCTACTCATTTTTTTGATTCTCTTCCTTTTCTCCAATCCTGAAGAACTGGACTCTCTTCTCCTCTTACCCTAAACTCAGGGTCATCAGCCTCTTCTGAAGGAGACACAGGTGGTTCTTGCCAGAGTCACTGACAGGTGACCTGCATTAACCTCAGGCCATGAGGAGGGGACACAGCAGAGTGATTGGTCTAGAGCATGGGTTCTGGAGGCAGACACTTGCCTGTCTTTAAATCCCAGTCCCGTTGATTAGGAGCCTTGAGCCCATGGACCAGTTACTTAACTCTGCAAGCCTCAATTTCCTCTACTGCAACAATGGGAATCATAACAGTATCTGGTTGCAGTGAGGATTACCTGTTAATCTACGTAATATCCTTGGCGCAGTGCTCAGTAAGTTGTGGCCACATGTGCATAGATGTTCCAGGGACCGGAGCTTCTTTGTAAACAGGTGTTAGTCACATTGACCTTCACTGCTCCCAGTACAGTGAAGACCACCTTGATTCCTTGATGGCCCACAAGGTCATCATCTGTAAGCCAATACAATCATCGACTTTGCAGGTTTGATGTGCGGATTGAAAATGATGTATGTCTAATGCCCAGCACAGTTTGCAAACAGTAGGTGCTCAGGAGACACTATTATGATTAGCAAGATGGTTCCTTCTTCCTGAATAGTGGTGATGAGCCTAAGAAGTACCATCTGTCTCTCCTCTCTCCACCGTCTCTCCCCCACCCGCCTCCAGGGAACATGTGGGCCCAAACCTGGTCCAACATCTATGACTTGGTAGTGCCCTTCCCTTCGGCCCCCAAGCTGGATGCCACCGAGGCTATGATAAACCAGGTCTGCACCCGGGGCCCTATCCTCCCACTCTTATTCCTCCGTGGGCAGCCCCAGGGCACTGGGGAGGGAAGACCCTGCCAGAGTGGGAGAGGGCTCTCAGACTGAAGAGTTCCCCCACCCCAGTAGCTTCCCTCCCTGAGGCACACGCAACACTCCTTCTTGTAGGGCTGGACACCCAAAAGGATGTTTGAGGAAGCCGACAATTTCTTTGCTTCCTTGGGGCTGCTGCCCGTTCCTCCGCTGTTCTGGAACAAGTCGATGCTGGAGAAGCCGACAGATGGGCGGGAGGTGGTGTGCCATGCTTCCTCCTGGGACTTCTACAATGGCGAGGACTTCCGGTATGTCCAGGCTGGAGCCGGGGACCTTATGCTGAGCCCAGTGGGTAAGGAGGTGAGCCAAGTCAAGCCTCCATTGCAGTTCCCTCAGCCAGAGTGAGCAGAGAGAGAAGGGATGCAGGGGCCAGAGTTTGGGACTGAGGGTCAAGAGAGTTGGACCTGGCCCCAGCTCAGCCATTGGCTTCTGGCAGGAGAATCCCTTCCACCAAATGAGGGTCTCCCCTCAAGTGCTGATAACCTTGGACAGTTGGTCAGGGCTCAAGATCCCAGTCCTGGGTTTAAGCATTATGTGAGCTGTTCAGGCGCCACCCCCCCCCCCCCCCACCCCCCGCCATTCCAGGGCAACTCCTGCTTGCAGCTTGCCCACTCCCTCTGTGCCTGTGCTTTGACACAGGGAGGTACATGAGGATGGGGACACTTTGCACAGATCCATCCTCACAACTGATGGAGGTTCAGAAGTTGTCTTCACCCAAGGATAGTGTTTCAGTTATCTTTTGCTACAAAACAAACCACCCCCAAACAGTGTGTAAAATAACTGTTTTATCATGCTTATGATTTTATGGGTCAGAAATTCAGGCAGTACACAGTGGAACTGGCTTGACCTGGCTCCTCAGTGACTGAGACCTCAGCTGGGGTGGCTGTAATGGCTGGAGATGGCTAGGATGGCTAAACTGGGGTCATCTGTTTGGGGTCTTGGTTCTGGCTATTGGTTGGGTTCCTCAGTTTTTTATCCTTTTGCTGGGGCTAGAATGTTCAAGTTGGCTTCTTCACTCACATTTCAGATGCCTGGGCTGGGACGGCTGGAACAGCTGCGAGTTGCCAGGCATTTCTCTCTCCAGGCAACCTATCCATGTAGCTATATTGGGCTTCCTCACAGTATGGCAATCTCAGACAATCTTATTTCTTCCATGGCAGCTGGCATCCCACAGAGCAAAAGCAGAAGCAGCCAGGCTTGTTAAAGGCTAAGCATTTTATTGATTAATCTATAGCAAGTCATAAGGCAAGCCCAGACTCAAGGGAAGGGAAAAAGACTTCACCTCTTGGGAAAAGTGTCAAAGATGATCGGCCACAGCTGATGAAGTGTCTCTTAGGAGAAGAATAGACACAGAGATCCAGTCCCCAAAGGCATGAGGACTGTACTATAGGGCCGGGGGTGGACAGGATCAAGGCGGGGTGAGAGCTCTTTGGGGATCCTCCCTTAAACGGGGAGGCAGAGGAGAAGGTTGACAGACCCCAACCTCATTATGACCAGCTTTCTGGGAAGCTCTTACCCCTTCCCTGATGAGAATGACAGAAAAGTGGGGTGGACCCAAACTTGGTAGATCCAAGAAGGATTTCCTGCCACTGAAACTGGCTTACAAAAGAGGATGAGGAAAGGCCAGCAAGAGGGATGTAGAACCCTCTGGCTTGGAAGCTCTGCAGATGTCATTTCAGTCCTGGCCATAGGAGCTTGGAGTGAATAAATAGGCTTACTGGTATTGGACTGGATGAGATGCAGAAGAGCTCAGACACTATTGTTTCTTCAAGAAGCCTAAGTCTTAGGAGAGAGAAAACATGTGTACATGGGAAACCGCAGGACACATTCTATAAAGTAATGCCCTGAACACAACTGAGTGTCCCAGTGCCCCTAGAGCAAGTACTTTGTACAGTTACAAAGCAACATGGCAGTGTGGGCTGGAGTTATTCAGGAAAGTTGGAGGCAGAGGAATGGCCTGACTGCTCTTCAGGGGCTTCCAACCCCCAGATTCCCTCTGTCTCAGGCTCACTCCCCATCTCCTCTTCGTTTTCCTTCCATAATGCTGGGTTCCCTGCACACAGCAGTGATGGGCTCTGCTCTGTATTCAGTAAGGTCAGCTGGGCTCCTCACTGTCCCTCTTTCAACATGTGTCCCCCCTCCATCTCGTATTTCCAGGATCAAGCAGTGCACCACTGTGGACATGGAAGACCTGGTGGTGGCCCACCACGAAATGGGCCACATACAGTATTTCATGCAGTACAAGGACTTGCCTTTGGCCCTACGGCAGGGTGCCAACCCTGGCTTTCATGAAGCCATTGGGGATGTGCTGGCCCTCTCGGTTTCTACGCCCCAGCACCTACACAGCATCAACCTGCTGAGTAGCGAGGGTGGCGGCTACGGTGAGAGAGGAATGGGAGGTTCTGGGTAGACTCAGGAACCAGGAAGGGGTGGCTGAGATTGGGAGGTGAGAAAGAGGGAATTTAGTGGCCCGGGGGAAGAGATTTGGGGTAAGGTAGTGGAGAGTAAGGGGGCCACCAGCATGGTGAGCCTAGAAGGATGGAATACACAGACCATCCAAGAGGCAAATGGAGTGGCAGGACCCAAAGAGGTAGAGTGGCCTCCCTCTCCATCCACCATACACACGCAGAGCTGCCAGGAGCCAGCAGGAGGCGGAAATCTATCTGATGGCTGGGCCCCCTTCCCTTGGCAGAGCACGACATCAATTTTCTAATGAAGATGGCACTGGACAAGATCACGTTTATCCCCTTCAGCTACCTCATCGACCAGTGGCGCTGGAGGGTATTTGACGGAAGCATCAACAAGGAGAACTACAACCAGGAGTGGTGGAGCCTCAGGTTCAAGAATGCTTCTGGGGTTTGGGGGAGGCTCTTGGAGGTGGTTCTCTGTGAGTGTCTGTGTGCCTGTGAGTACGTGGCTGGGCCAGTGTGAGTCCGTGTTTGTATGTATATGTGAGCGGGGAGGTGCCTGTGTGTCTGTGCATGTGGTAATTGTATCTGATGAATAGTGTGTATATGATGTCTGTGAGTGTGTTTGTGTGCATGCATATGGGTCAGTGTGTGTGTGTGCGTGCAAGTGTCTGTAAAGTGATGGGGTACGTAAGGGATTGGTTGTGCACAGAGACACAGCACACAGGAGCCTGGAATACCCAGTGGAGCCCCAGGTGCAGGGACCATCCTTCAAGTCAAAAATGCCAACTCCCTCCAGCTTGGTTCTTCCTGACCTCTCCCTCCAATGGATCTTTCCTCTCAACAGGCTGAAGTACCAGGGCCTCTGCCCCCCTGTGCCCAGGTCTCAAGGTGACTTTGACCCGGGGGCCAAGTTCCACATTCCTTCAAGTGTGCCTTACATCAGGTAATGGGGAAGGGAGGAGGGCACACCATGAGGGGAGGTAGCAGTGCCTGCAGCTTATCATTTAAACCCTAGAGCTGCCCATCGGGGACTGCTCACTCAGTCAGGCAGCCCTGGGGGAGCCAGGTCACAGGATGCAGTGGCCTGGGCCCACTCATTCGCTACCAAGGCAGACGGGGGTTTCTTTAAACATTGTTTTGGTGTGATGAGAGCCTCTAACATCCAAACAGTTGAAAACAGAAACTAAACCTATAAATACTTGCTAATGGCTATGAGGCCATGGCTGGGTAGTTGACATTAACCATGACATACAGCTACATCATGACCCGAGCACTCTTTCGTTTGTTTTTTTTAAAATAAGATTGTGAGTACTTTCCTATATATTGAACATATTGTCTGTGATATTATTTTAATTGTACTTGAAAGACCCTTCTATACACTAAAACTCAGGATCAGAGACCCAGTGTTGATAGGGGCACAGTTCCAGTCACAGGTTTGGGGTCAGACAAAACTGGGTTCAAATTTGTCTACACTACTTGGTTTTCTTGAGCAAATTCCTCAATCTTTGTGAGCATCAGTTTCCTCACCTTTGAAAGGGGCTAACAATGCCTATTTCACAGGACTGTCATGAGGGTTAAGTTCTTAGCATATGCTGGGAAAATGGTGGCTATTTTAGCCTTTACTACACTTTTCAAAGGAATGTGTAAACACACTAGGTCTATGAGTCTCATAGCCTTAGCGTGAATGTGCCCAGGCCAGCCCCCTTCCTTCTAAGCACTCATCTGAGGGTGATTTCAGGATCTGGAGCCCTTCTGGGATGCATGGATCCCAGGAGGTAGCCCAGGCTTTCTATGAAGCAAGGTGCAGAAGACATCGAGGGCAGCCCCAGGTGGGCTACGGCGGCCTCTAGCCCGTTCTTGGGAGACCAAGGAGAGCTCCTGACCACCATGCTCTCCCTTCCCTCCCAGCACCTGGCACAATGTCAGGATATATTCAAGCCCTAACAGTTTATGGGTGAATTCTGTCCCCTGGAGGTCAGGAGAGGGGAGAGATCTGCTCAGAAGCTCCAGATGGCAGCAGTGGGCAGAGGCCCGAGGAGACTCCTCACTGGGCACCCCAGAACAAGCCTGAACTGGACAGTGTGCCAGGGATGACCCATTAGGAAAGGCCCCAGCCCACCTTCGAGAGTGGTGTCTGGGGTTCCAAGCTGGTGGTCCTCGCTTTCACATAGAAGCCTGCCTGCGTGATAGTTAGCATCAAGCTTAGCAGACAGTTCAGGCCGGGGTGGGCAAACGAGACTTGGCGCCTATGGAAAAACACATTCCAAACTCTGCCCAGCAGCCTTAGCAAAGCACTTTCAGGGGATGCCAGTGGCACGTGGCTTGTGCCCAGCATTCTAAGGGGGAGGCCTGAGCCTCTGGTTTGGGACATTCTTTAAAACCTCTCCAGGCTTTGAGGGATTGCTGCAGCCTGGACCAGATTTCTACCAGGGAATTCCTGCTGCCCTGGGCAAAAGAGGATCATTTGGGTTGGCTTCTCCACCCAGACCTCCCTCCCAGATATCTGAGGCCCTTTCAGCAACACCTAGCCCCTACTTGCATATACTGCAGGAATGGAGACTTCTTTGCCTCAAAAGCAGCCTACCAAATCTTTGAAGAGCCCTGCCCCGACCACACCCCATACATGGCTGATCCTGGGAGCCCCTCAGAGCAGGCCTTCCCAAGATGAGGATGCAGCCTCACGGGTGGTGCTGGGGAAGGTCCGCATGGGCTTGTCCTGGCATCCTGACTGCAGGGGGAGTTGGGGTGGCTGGCTCTGCTGTGCCTTGGGGAACTATCACAGGGAGAAAGGCTGGGGCTCAGTGGCCTTCCCTCCGCCACAGGTACTTCGTCAGCTTCGTGATCCAGTTCCAGTTCCATGAGGCACTGTGCCAGGCAGCTGGGCATCAGGGCCCCCTGCACAAGTGTGACATTTACCAGTCCAAGGAGGCAGGGAAGCGCCTGGCGTGAGTCTTCTGAATGTTTTCTCTTCTGACCCTTGCCCTGCAGCCCCAAGGAGCCCACCGGGGACTATTCTGGGAGCACCTGCCACTTCCCAGCCTTGATGTGCCGTCTCCAGTGGGGGGACTAGGGGCTCCTCTAGGCCCAGATCATCCCTCCTCACCCCTGACCCCCAGACCTGCCCAGCCCTTCCCAATCTCAAAGGGAAGCGTAGGTTGGAGGAGGGGCACAGAGGGTGGGCGTTAGGTTGGGGCAGGAGGGGCAGTGAGGCTTTCCACCTGTCCTCCTGACTCAGTTTCCCTCCCTCCGGTGTTCCCCCAGGGACGCCATGAAGCTGGGCTTCAGTAAGCCATGGCCGGAAGCCATGAGACTGATCACAGGACAGCCCAACATGTCCGCCTCAGCCATGATGAACTACTTCAAGCCGCTGCTGGACTGGCTCCTCACTGAGAACGGGCGGCACGGGGAGAAGCTGGGCTGGCCCCAGTACAACTGGACACCAAACTCTGGTACGACCACCCACCCCACCTCCAGCCCCAGGCCCAGACCCCTCCCCAGCTCAGATAGGTTGCAGTCTGGCCTCAGAGCAAGGACAGGGAAGCAGGCTAGCGGCCCCCGGCCCTGCCCACCACCCTGCTCTCCTTGCTTCCCTCCCAGCTCGCTCAGAAGCCTCCCTCACGGGCAGCGGCCGCGTCAACTTCCTGGGCCTGGACCTGGAGGCGCACCAGGCCCGTGTGGGCCAGTGGGTGCTACTCTTCCTGGGCGTCGCCCTGCTGGTGGCCACCTTGGGCCTGACCCAGCGGCTCTTCAGCATCCGCCAGCACAGCCTCCGCCATCTACAGCGAGGGCCCCAGTTTGGCTCCGAGGTAGAGCTGAGACACTCCTGAGAGGACAACAGGGACAGCTGAGATGGGGGCGAGGGGTTCCAGGACTCGCCAGTCCGCCTTCCTCCTCCCTGCCCTGAGCCCTCCACATCTGCCTCCATTCTGGGCACGAGTTCGTCCTCCTGACCTCGAGCCACCTCTGCCCTCACCCCCAGTCTCCAGGCACCAGCAGCCTGACTCAAAGACCCCCACCGAGTCTCTCTGTGAATACAATTAAAGGTCCTCCCCTCCCTGTCTGAGTGTGTGTCTCACGGGAAGCCAGGGACAGGGACAGGGCTGCTCTCCCACCTCCTGGCAGTCGGTGGGTCGCTTTCCTGGGTGTCTTCCATCATCCTCCCCCAGAGAAGAGCCTGAAGAACCCCCAGAGCTCTATTGCCAGCACCAAGCAACCCCCAAGCCTGACTTCCCTCCAGCCCAGGCAGCGGCCCAGTGTCCTGCCCGCCAGGGCACCGACGCAGGAGACTCTGGGAAGCAAAGCAGGAAGAGATATGTCCCCATACTTCTAGAGCCACTGTCCTGCCCAAGACCCAGCCCCACTCTGCTCCCTGCCCCAGCTGTCCCCATAGATGGCCAGGACCCCAGAGGGAAGGCCCTGGCTGTCCCCTGGTTGCCTGGAGGAGAGTGCCCTGGATCTGCCTGATTTGTTGTGGGTATAGAACTGGCCCAGGGGTCACCTCAGGCTCCTGCCTACCCCCTCCCTTCAAGGCCAGCAGCAGCTCCAAGTTCCCTTGCATGAGTGGACAGCCTTCTTCCTGACAGAGACACTCGGACACTGCTCCCAGGGCCAGGCCCTCACCAGGGGTCCTACTACCAGGGAGCCCCCTGTGCCTCAGCTGGAGAGGGGCCCCCCACTGCTGAAACCTAGTGGTGGCCATGCCGTGCAGGAATTGCCTGCCTCCCAGCATACATGCCTCACCCGGAGCCTTCCCCCGGAAGGCGGATATGGGTTTGGGGAAGTCACTTTGAGAGGCCTTTTTATAACTTTTATCTACATGCTATTGTAGAAAATTCAGAAGCTACAGAAAACTATAGAGAGAATAAAAACCCTTAATTTCAACACCAAGAGATAAGCACTGTTGACATTTTGGTGTATATCTTTCCAGCCTTTTTTTCTCCTCTGCACATATTTTAAATGGGACCCCACTCTAAACACAGTGCGTGTCCTCTTCTCAATTAACAGGACTAATCTACTTTTCAAATATTTAAACACCAAACTTAGAACCTGATCAAATGGAAGCTGATCAGTTTTCTCCTACTGCCAGCCTGGCCCCTCTGTCAGGGGCTGACTCCTCGGCTCTGAGCCTCTTCCTGGCTTTGCTGATGCCTTGCTAGGCCCATCCCCCAATATCCTTGAGTCCTCCGGTCACCTCACGTGTGTCTGTGTTTGTGCGTGTGTGTCCTCTGCATGTGTCTTTGTGTTTGTGTGTCTCTGGGTTTGTGTGTCCGTGTGTGTGTGTGTCTGCATATGTATGTGTCTGTGTGTAGGTCTTGTGTCTATATATGTGGGTCTGTATGTGTCTCTGTGGGTGTCTGTGTTTGTGTGTGTGTGTGTGTGTGTGTGTGTGTGTGTGCCCGTGTGTGTGTATGTTTGTGTGTCTTTATGTCTGTATGTGTTGCATGCATGCTCAGTTGTGCAGGCCTGTTCAGTGTGGCAGGATGTGGAACTGAGGTTTTTTGGATACACAAGAGAATGGACATTGTTTACGATTTTGTAGGGCAATAGAGTTTATAAACATGTCCTCTAAATGGTTCTACCACCAAAGACATCTTTAACTATCGTGCCTCCCCGGCCTGATGTTTTAAAAGATCTTTGCCAAACAAAGCTCAAATTCCCTAAACTTCTGTTTATCTGGAAATGCTGTAATTTCACCATCATATTTGAGAGACAGTTTTGCTGGATGTATAATTCTTGTCTGGCAATTTTTTTTCCTTCAAGGCTTTGTATATGTCATCCCATTGCCTTTCTGCCTACCAGGTTTCTGCTGAGTAGTCTGAGCTTAGTCTTATTGACTCTCCTTTGTAGACGACTTTTAGTTTATCCCTAGCTGCTCTTAAAATTCTCTCTTTATCTTTGGTTTTGGCAAGTTTGATTATAACATACAACATGTCTTGGTGACTTTCTTTTGGGATCTACCTTGTGTTCAATGAGCATCTTCGATAGATACCTTCTCATCTTTCATGATATCAGGGAAGTTTTCTGGCAACAAATCTTCAACAATTCTCTCTGTATTTTCTGTTATCCTCCCTGTTCTGGTACGCCAATCACTCATAGATTATTCCTGTTGATACAGTCCCACATAATTCTTAGGGTTTCTTTATTTTTTTAAATTCTTTTGTCTGATTTTTCCTCAAATAAGTTGGTGTCAAGTGCTTTAGTCTCACTAATTCTGACTTCCATTGCCTCAGTTTTGCTCTTATGACTTTCTATGGAGTTGTCTCATTCTGAAATTTTATTGTTAATCTTCTGGATTTCTGTTTGCTCTCTCTATGGATTCTTGTACCCTGTTAAATTTGTCATTATGCTCTTCTATAAACTTATTAAGTTCCTCTATTGCTTTGTCTGTATGTCCCTTGACTTATTCTGCATTTTGCCTGATCTTCCTGATCTCTGGAAGAGTTCTGTATATTAATCTTTTGTATTCTACCTCTGGTAATTCCAAGAAGTTCTCTTCCTCTGGAAGATTTCTTGATTCTTTGTTTTGGGAGCTTGCTGAAGCCATCATGGTCTGCCTCTTCACATGATTTGATATTGACTGTTGTGTCCAATCCATCAATAAGTTATTATATTTATTTATTTTATGTTTGCTTACTGTGTGTCCTAGCTTCTTGCTTTGTTTTGATATGCCCAAATAGGCTGCTCACGTGAGCTAGTTTGATTATTGGCAGCTTTGAAGCTCTGATGTCCTGTCTCCAGGTGGTTAGATCTGTTACTACGTATGTGAACCCAAGAGTCCGTTTACTTTTCTTGTATGGGTTCAGCTCAGGTATCCAGGTAGTCAGTCATCAAGTGTGTGGTGCAGGCTGTCTCCTACAGTCCTAGATGGGCAGGAGTAATTGGAGTAGGCACAGGTATCTGGCTGCAGTAGAGGGTCACGCACTGAGCAAGGCAGAGGGCTGATGGCCACCCCTGAGAGTCTGGGAGGAAAGTGTGTCCCTATTCCCTACAGTGCGTAGGTGGGTGGGTTTTGCAGCTGGATTATGGGCACCCAATTCTGTTGGATGTAAGGACTGGGAGGCACCACTTATTCTTGAACCCCTGTCATGGGTGGCTAGGTGGCTTGGGTGGAGCCACCAGTCCTCAGGCCCCTGATGTGGGTAGGTGAGGACCCTGCTTAATGGGTAGAGTGGTGTCAAATGTCACAAACCTGACACCTCACCATATAGCTGATACAGTTGAAGTTAGGCTTCATGTATATACCCTGTTGTACTGTGCTAATGAGGGCCTACGCTGCTGAAATGGGCACACATAGGTCTATAAAGGGGTAAAAGGTGTTCAAAGTCCGTGGACCCCTTATGCCTGTGCTTAGACAAAGGAGCTGTGCCTACCCTGAGTTCCCAGCTTAGGGGAGCTGGCAGATTATTTTTTCCGTTTGTTAATTTGTTCCCTCTTCAAGGCCAGGAGAATGGCTCAGGGTGCATGATGGGTCCTACTTCTGGCCCAGGGGACTCAGCAGTCACTGAAGCCAGCCCAGGACCCAGTGCAGAGCAGGGAGGAGGCAGGTAAATAGGAGAGATGTTCTTCCCAGACAGCGTGTTTTTTGATCCACACAGTGGGTTCCACGCATGTACTTATCTTTTGCCGATTGAGAAAACTTTTCACTGGTTCTGGAGGCTTGAGTAGACTCTCCGTTGCTTGGTCTCTCCCGAAGTGGATAATTTGTCCTGAATGCCACTGCCCGCCTCACCATGCATGCCAGCCAATCCGGCCTGCAGGGTGCCGTTCCCGCTGGGTCAGGCTGGCAGCTGCCTTGCTGCTTCTGACCCATCTCTCCCTCCCCCGCCACTCAGTCTGATTCCTCAACGTTTACTTTGATGTTCAGGGCTCCTAAATTGTCATAAATAATCAATTCAGTTGTTTTTTTGAGTCTTTGTTGTAAAAGGGACCACAGGAAGGGTCTGACTACTCTGCCATCTTGCCCTCCTGTCCCTGCCCTCACCAAAAAAAGCTCAATTGTTACGTTATTCCCTTTCTGGTGTTTATGAGCCACAGAGGCTCCTGTTGCCTACTGGAGCTGTAAGCAATATGAGGTCATCAGTGTTCAACACTGAATGGAATGAGCTTCAGATTAAGAGCAGAGAAACTTCACATTGGGGTTGGTGTGACCAGCCTTATCCAGTAGATCTCTTGAAATATTAGAATTGTTCAAAGACTCCTGTTTTTGCCTTCTTGGGTGAGAGAGGGGAGAGACTAGGTCTACCTGGAAGGTGGCGGAGGAAGAGGAGGTGGTGAGAGTAGGAAGAGGGGGCCAACTGGCATTTTCTAAGGGTGGCCCTGAGGTCTGAGCGCTTTCCCAGGCTGCACCTGCTGATCGCTCCTCAGTGACCAGCTCTTACCCACATGGCCAAAGTTCTTTTGGTTGCTGAACAGCTGCTCCAAACTCCCTGCCCCCTTCCCCACCCTGGCTCTAATGTGAGTGAGTCAAGTGGCTTTGGAGTTGGACCTAAGTCAAATCCCATCTCTGCACTTACTACGTATGTGCCTTGATCAATTTAATTTTCTAAGCCTCCATTTTCACATCTATAAAATTGTTCTCATAACCCTCTCTCATGATTGCTGTGAAGATTAAATGAGATAATGTAGAAATTCTTGGTAGTTTTCTGTCTTTATAGTGAATGCATCATCTCCTGATAGAGATTTTTTATATCTGCCCCACATTTCAAACATCCCCAAGTCACAGAATGTGAGAGCTGGAAGATCAAGCCAAGATCAGCACCCCTCATGTGATAGATGGAGAGAAAGATCCAGAGCGACTCAGTGACAGAGCTGAATGGAAAACTCACATCTCCCGACCTGCCTTCCAATAAATTTCCCATGATACTTCCTGCACGGGGACTGTTTTCTTATGGAAGCACAACAAGCTCGTTCACATCTGTCTTCTGTTCTGAAAACGCTCATCCATCATCTCTTTGAATGTTGCCTTTCCCCATCCTCTCCAGTCTCTACTTCAAGGACTTCTATTATAGCTGGTTGGAGCTTTCTGTTTTGTCTTCCATGTCTCCTAATTCTTGCTCATATTTCTCATCTCTTTCTCTCTTTATCCTCTGCTGCAGGCGATTGCCCCAGCTGTGTCTTCTTAGGTCCCAATTCTTCTGCTTCTCAACCTGTCTATTGAGGGTTTTGTTTTTCCAATTTAATAACTGCATTTTTCATTTCTGGCATCTCTGTTCCTTTTTCAAACTTCCTGTGTTTTCACAAGAGCCTATTCTTGCTTCGCGGATTCCCTTCCTTCCCTGTATTTTAAGTCTCTTTCAGATTACTCTGAGATCTGTCCTTCCCCAGGTGTGTTCTGCCACCATTCATTGTGTCTTTAGTTTAGCGTAGGCTCTGGAAACAAATCTTGTGGATTTGAGTCCCACCTTCACTCTTTGCTCCGTTTCCTCATCTGTAAAATGGGGAAGTTGATCATAGTACCTGCTTCATGAGTTCTTTATGAGGATTCATATGCTAAAGCCCTCAGATGGTCCCTAGAAGCTGGAAAGTGCCCAGTGGGGGTTGGTTATCATTATTGTCCCTCAGATCATTGGATATTTCTCTTGCACTTGGTAGGTTGACCTGTGAGCCATCTTCAGTGGAAACAGCCTTCTGCAGGGTCCCATGCATGCACCAGGTTGTGAAGATGTCCCCAAGATCAGTTTCATGGTTGCCTCTTACAGGGCCCCCTTAGAGAGGAAGTCATCTCCTGGCTCCCAGCTTTATGGAAGTGTCACTTCCAACCATGATCACCTATCCCCAAGCAGGCACCAATACTGCAGCCCTTTGGACATAGATATACTTCAACCTTCCACGTGGGCCAGGGAACTTCAACCACCACTCTTCATTTCTAGTATCTGGAGAGCCCCCTTTCTTGATTTCCAGCTCAGTCCTGTATTTTGCATTTTTAAAAAATAATGCATTTTATTAAGCATGTCTATGTGTTTGAGGAAACCCTGGTGGCATAGTGGTTAAGAGCTACTTCTACTAACCGAAAGCTCAACAGTTTGAATCCACCAGGTGCTCTTTGGAAACTCTATGGGACAGTTCTACTCTGTCCTATAGGGTCGCTATGAGTTAGAATCGACTCCACAGCAACGGGTTTGTTTTTCTAGTTTTATGTGTTTGAAGCAGGAGTAGGGACTTCCCTATGAGCTCCACTGATCAGCTTAACAAGAAATGTCACAGATTTTTTTTCTTGTGTTTTAAATGTGTTTTGGCCATAACAGATCATATTTGGAGGATTATTTGGTCAGTTTCTCTGGTCACGGTGTTAGCTCATGTGGAGGGGTAGAGAGTGTGTGAAGATGTGGGTAGAATTGAGCTGAGGAAGGTGAGTGAAGGGGATACAGGGTGGAGGGAGTCTTGGTGTGGAAGAGGGTGTGTCTGAGGAAGGAATTCCCAAGTTGGGACAAATGGAACCGGAGTCTCCCCACGCTGTATGTGTCAAATTACTGGGGAGTCATCAAAGGCAAGCGGAGAGTGGGGCTTCTGCCAGCTGATGCTCAAACCAGGCTCTGGTACTCATGGACATGCTTCCTGAATGGAAGGTACCAGCCACACCCTGCAACTGGGCTGGGCTGACCACACCTCTGCATACCCCATGTGCCTCCTCCTGACTGCAAACTGGTAAGATCAGGATCTCTCCAGAGAAGTAGGTGTAAGGGTGAGGGGAAGGGAGGAAGGGCCCTTCACAGCCCTGCAGATTATCACATGCATGAGAGAGAAAAAGGCCAAAAATGTGAACATAGGAGTTCAAGTCAGAAGAACATGGAGAAAGAACTGTGTTTCCAGAGTCCAGAGGCCCAGTGATATCACTTTCATCCGTCCATCCATCCATCCATCCCACCTACTCAGAGATGATCCCAGCCTGTTGAGGGAGGTGTTTCATCATTCCTTGGCCGAGATCCAAGGATGGCAGCAACCCCTGGGAGAAGTGACCAAGTAGAGTGGAACAAACTCTGGCCTAAAAGTCAAGAGCCTGGATTCTCTTGGCTCTGCCATTAACTAGCTGTGTGAACAAGAATATATGGCTTGACTATTCTGGACCTCAGTATCCTCACCTGTAAAATGGGGACAGTTGGACCAGGAGGTGGGTGGGGGCTTCCCAGTTCTGACATTCTATGCCTAACCCTTTGGCCCCTGATGTCACAATATGGAGTCAGATCCTGATTGGACAATAGGCTCACCCAGCTGCGCTGTTCTCTTGGTCATGGGCAGAAGATGGACTCGCCCTGGACCTTTCCTACTTGTGCTCCTTTGTTATGGACAGCTCTTGTCATGGCTCAGGACCGAGAATGCTCAGAGCCCAGGTGGGGCTGGGGTCCGAAGGGGACGGGCCGGGGGCAGATCCTTCCAAGGACAGCATGATGCCCATCTCTCTCCCGCAGATATGTCCTACAATGAGAGTGAAGTAAAGGCATTCCTGCAGAATTATGAACGAACAGCCCAGGTTGTATGGAACAAGTTTATGGAGGCCACCTGGAACTATGTCACCAACATCACCAAGAAAAACCGAGGAGAGATGGTGGGATACCTCCTTTACCCTAACCCCGCTTCTCCTTGATCTTCTCAGTGGTCTTGGGGGAAGTGGGGGATCACACCTTCTAACCCTTATCCAGAGACAGAGGTGAGAGGGAAGTCCCAAAGGACATGCCAAAGTAGGCTGCAATCTCCAAGCCTCTTGGTGGCCCCTAAACTCTCTCTGGGGCAAGGCTCTCTCGCTTGTTTCCCCTTTTAACTCTCACCTCCTTGCATTTGGGACCCAGGCTCCCTCCCTTCTCCCTCCTTGCAAATCTTCAATGCTTCTGACCCCTTAAAGTGGGCTTGGGAGCGGACTGGGGGGTATGGCCCTGGAGTTCAAGGTGAGGTCCTCGCTCCCTCCAAGCCCTCATGACAAAAGTGCTGATCCTTCTTCCAAGCTGCATGAGGACATGGAGAGGTCCCAGCATATCCTGTTTTTTGGCACCCAAGCCCGCCTGTTTAACATCGCCACATTCCAGGACCCAGTCATAAAGCGCATGCTGAGAAAGATGCAAAACATGGGCAAGGCGGCCCTGCCTGTGAAAGAGCTCCAGGAGGTAAGGATGGAACCCCCAGGCTTCCAGGCACATGCACCCCTCCCCAGGGGTTGATGGGGAAGGCTGAGTCTGGAGCAGGAGGGAGGGGGGGGGGGGGGGGACTAACTAGACAATAGAAAAGTAGCAGGAGGCGTGAAGGGGGAGGGAGATGAGAATACCGGGGGCAGGGCCAGAGCTTCCTCTAGTGGAGGAGGGAAGCAGAGGCCTAAGGAAGGTGGGGCTAGTGCTGGGGGTGGACCCAAGGGAGCAGGCCTGCCCTGGGTGACACCTGCTTCCCCAGTACAACCAGCTCCTGGCCTACATGGAGACAATGTACAGTATGGCCCAGGTGTGCCTGGAAGAGGGACCCTGCCTGTACCTGGAGCCTGGTGAGAGGCGTGGACCCTGCCCCTGCCCCTGCCCCTGCCCCTGCCCCTGCCCAACCACAGTCCCTTCCATGGGCCTCCCAGCCCCTGTTCTCCTTCTCTTGTTGGAGTGGGTGAGGGTACAAGGAAGGCAGTAGCAGGGGTCCCACTTTGACTTCTTTCTCGGGCACAGACCTCCAAGAAGTAATGGCCAACTCCCGGGACCAGAAAGAGCTGCTGTGGGCATGGCAGGGCTGGCGGGATGCTGTGGGCCGCCCACTACGCACCTTCTTTGAGCGCTACGTGCAGCTCAGCAACAAAGCTGCGAATCTCAATGGTGAGGCCTGGCCTGAGCAGACAGAACATTGCACAGGCCCCAGAGCAACACTTAGGAAGGGGGCCAAGCTGAGTCTGCAGGTCGGGTGGGGGGTACTAGGGCCCTGGAGATGTGATCCAGGAGCCTGCAGCTAGGCAAGGCAAAGGCAGTTCAATCTTCGTGTCATTGAATAAATAATGATGGAGCACCTGCTAGGTGCTGGCACTGGGAAGGGTCTGAGGAAACGCAGGTGAGAACACAGAGGCACTTTCCCTCAGAGGGCTGACATTCCAGTGGGGGAGACAGACACTCTTCAAGTAGACACCCATATCTAATCACCACTTGGGCTGGGTGCCAAGAGAAAGGGCTGCTGAGAGAGGGAATAAGGAGAGAGATGTTTCAGGTAAGTGGTCAGGGAAGGCCCCTCTGACATTCACCCAAAGCCTGGAGGTGGATAAGAGCAAGGGAAGACAGAAGTAAAAAGTGCATCCCAGGCAGAATCTCTGCTAGGGGAGGGGGCTGGGGTTTTGGAAGACCTGAAGGAAGCCAGGGTGACCAACGGGTTATCGATGAGGTGGGGCTCACAGAGAGGTCACAGGGCTTAGCAGGCACGGCAGAGAGCCAGGATTATGGACACTGCTCAGTGCTTTTCCATCCCTGATCAGATCCAACACGGTCAATAGCCCTGGGAGGTACTATTCCCACTTTATAGATGAAGATGCTGAGGATCAGGAAGGTGAAGTGGCTTTCCTAAAACGTGCCTGCATCTCCTGCCTGCTAGGCCAGGGCTGAAGGCTGGGGTGGTGAGAACCTTGTTGAGTCCCCTCTCCTGTTCTAGGTTACAAAGACATGGGGGCCTTGTGGCGCTCAAAATACGACTCTGAGAACGAGACCAACACCCTGCAACATGACCTGGAGCTGCTGTTCCAGGAGCTTCAGCCACTCTACCTGAACCTGCACGCCTATGTGCGCCGCGCCCTGCACCGCCGCTACGGGCCCCAGTTCATCGACCTGAAGGGGCCTATCCCTGCCCACCTCCTGGGTAAAGCCTGGGCTGGTGGGGGCGGGGGCAGAGGCTGGGGCAGGCCTCCAAGTAGGTGCTCAATATCAATAAGGGGAGAGACCTCTTTCGCTGCCTCTTAGCCCCTCTGCTCTCCTCCCAGGGGACATGTGGGCTCAGTCCTGGGTCAACATCTTAGACCTGGTCTTGCCCTTCCCGGAGAAACCCCTGGAGGACATCACGAAGATCATGAAAGGCCAGGTCAGTGCTGGGCCTCCAACTGCTCCTGCCCCCTCTGAGCCCTGGGGCCATCAGGCAGGGCCCCATGCACATTCTCTTCCCACAGCGCTGGAAGCCCCACAAAATGTTCCAAGAGGCTGAAAAATTCTTCACCTCCCTGGGGCTACTGCCCACCCCGATGGAGTTCTGGAGCAAGTCTATGTTGGAGAAGCCAGCTGATGGACGGGAGGTGATGTGCCATGCCTCTGCCTGGGACTTCTACAATGGCCATGACTTCAGGTGCTCACCACCCACCAGCAAGGCCCTGCAGCCAGCATCACACTCCAGCCCCCTCCCCTGCTCCTTCCACTCTCCATCTATCTGCCTGTCCTAGGGGGTGTGTGCGAGTGGTGGGCATGGGAAGAGATGGGGCGGGGGAAGGTGGGATGTGAGTGGGAACAGAGGGAGAGGTGGATGCAAGGGGCAGGACAACGGCTCAGTCACTGGTTTAGTCGCTGGTTGGATATGGGGGTCTGCAGTGACCAAGGCCTTCTGGTCTCCAGCCCAACCACCCCAATCCCTTAGCTAAGTCTGAAGTCTCGCACTGTCCCCAGAGCATCCCCATGCTCCTTGACCCCTGCCCTTTAACCCTAGGATAAAGAGGTGTACCGAGGTGACCATAGAAGACCTGCTCTCCGTCTTCCACCAGATGGGCCATATTCAGTACTTCTTACAGTACAAGGACCTTTCTGTGATCTTCCGTGAAGGTGCCAACCCAGCCTTTGAAGAGGCTGTGGGGTCAGCGATCACCCTCTCGGCCTCCTCTCACAAGTACCTGCTCAACATAGGCCTGCTCAGCTTACAGTTCCAGGACTCAAGTGAGGAGCGCTAGGGGACAGTAGGGAGGGCAGCCTGAGCCTGGGGCTGGAACTAGGGTGGAGCAGGACCAGAGCTCTCCTGGTAAAACTGAAGGGACTGGGTACACTGGAGCTACCCCTGACTGCCCCGCCCCATCCTCAGAGGATGAGGTCAATTTCCTGATGGGCATTGCTCTTGAGAAGATTGCCTTCATCCCCTTTGGCTACCTGGTGGACCTGTACCGCTGGAAGGTCTTTGATGGCACCATCCATAAGAACATCTACAACCAGGAGTGGTGGAGCCTCAGGTGGGCCCCTGTCGCTGCTTTCTTGGGCCCTTCCCTGGGCCTCTGCACTTCTGCCTCTGGCCTTCTCCGGGGGTGGACAGTGCTTTCAGGTCAGCCCCCAGGGAACCACCCACTGCCATAGATTGCTGCTGGTCTGTCCTCGGAGTTCAGAGCTGGACCTGCAATGCCGGGGGGCCTGGAGGCCCAGGGAAGCCCCAGGCTAGTGCTGGTTGTTGGCTGTCACCAGACAAAGGTCTGTGTGCTGAGTGGATGAGTGGTAGAGCCAGTGGTCATGCATGAGGCCTCATTTTGAATCTGATACCAGGGCTAAGCCGGTCTTTTAACTTCTCTAAGCCTCAGTCCCCTCGTCTGTGAAAAATGGGTCCTGGTGGTGGCCCTCCCTGCTCCCTGGGTTGCTGGGAAGCTCACATGGTGATCACAACTGGGCTTCTCCAAGAACAAAACACTGACCACCAGGCAGACCCTCCCTCTCCATACCAACAAGGAGTAGGGGCCAGGAGAAGGGGTGTTTGGGGTCTGAGCTCTTTCCCTCCAAGAGATCCCATGGGAGACAGGCAGGCTTACTGCCCCCTTGCCTGCTGTCCCCGACACACATGCACACCTGCCTCTGGCTTAGCATCCCCGACATGTCCCACGTCAGAACTGGCTCCTCCGTAGTCCTGCAGCATCACTCTTGACTGAGGAGCGCCCGCATCACCTCCCATCTGCACTCTTTCCTTCCAAATTTTCCCATCACCCTTAACAGAAGCTCAGCACCCCCTAGGCAATGACTGCATCTTTTCCCCTCCCACCCATCTGGCCCTGGTAACCATTAATAAACTCTGGTCTCTATGCATTTGCCTATTCTAGATATTTCCTATGAGTGGGATGATACAATATTTGTCCTTTTGTGACCAACTCATCAGGTCCAGTTTCGATAGATGTGCAAGTGCTTGGGGAGTCCCTGGATGGTACAAACTGTTAACATGCTCAGCTGCTAACTGAAGGGTTGGTGGTTCGAATCCACCCAGAGGCACCTCGGAAGAAAGGTGGTGATCTACTTCCGAAAAATCAGCCATTGAAAACTCAGTGAGCACAGCTTCACTCTGACACACATGAGTCAAAATAGACTTGGCAGAACTAGTTTAGGATTTTGGTGGCAAGTGCTTGGAAAAGGAAAAGGCTCTGAGAACAGTGCAAAGCAGCACCATCAAGCCTCTTGTTTTTCCTTCTGCAGGTTGAAGTACCAGGGCCTGTGCCCCCCCGTTCCTCGGTCAGAAGAGGACTTTGATCCAGGTGCCAAGTACCACATTTCCGCCAGCATCCCCTACTTAAGGTAAAGGTCTGGGCCCTGTCGGCAGAGCCAGCTCTGGGAGTTGGCGGTGCGGGGCATAGGGGTCGGGGGTAGAATTTCCAGGAAGGCCCTAGTTCCAAATGTCCCCCTGCACCCCCGCCCACCTTATCTTGTTGGGGTGCTTACCCTTCTGGGACCCAGGCCCCAGAATCCTTTGGGCTTTTACATCAGGTCCTGTGTGGAGGGCAGGGCTGATTGGAATATTCCTCAGCATCTCTGCTGCCCCCTAGGGGACGGCAGGAGAGAGAAAGGTCAGGGTTGAGGTAAATGTGGTTCAGAAGGCTGGAGAAGAGACCCTCTGGTATTTTAAGGCCAGCCTGAGGTGAGGCCTTACGCAAAGAGCCACTGGGTGGCAGAGACCCGCTGTGGCCAAGGGAGGCCCTGTCCTCTGCCTGGGCTGTGACTGTCAACCTGTGTCCACTGCCGCATGGCCACTGCACGTCATAGCTGCCCAGGCCCAGGTGGCTCCAGGTTTCACACCCCTGATACCCACTCCCCAGCCTGCCCTCAAGTTCTCCCACCCAGGTACTTCCTCAGTGTGGTGCTCCAGTTCCAGCTCCATGAAGCACTGTGCAGGGCCTCGGGCCACGTGGGTCCGCTGCACCACTGTAACATCTATAACTCCAAGATGGCTGGGAAGCTCCTAGAGTGAGTGCCCTCCTCCCTCATTTGTCCTCAGTGTCCCTTCCCTCCCTGGCTGAAGGCCTGCCCTCAGGCCCTCCCTACAGCTGGCTACTCTGGGTACCCTGAGCAGAACATCGTTGAGCTTACTTTCCAGCGGACGTTCTTCCTCATGTCAAATTGCAGTCTCTCCTACAATAATGGAAGCCCATTTCCTCTTGTGTAGCCCCTGTGGTCAGACTGTTTTAGTCCCTCCTGCTAAAACACACATGCACACACACACATACTTGCCAGGAAATCAAAACATCCCAGATAGGAAGCCAGTGGCTGGAGTCCTGCCTCAGCCTCAGTCCCCTGACTGAATCCCCTTACTCTTTTTTTTTTTGTAAGGCTCTTGCCTGTCCTCTCCCCTGGGTGCACTCTGCTTTTCCCATCTCTTCTTGGATATTTCCAGATCTGGTTTTCAGGTTGATCCCGGTTGCTTTCACACCAGTCTCTTAGCAGGCTTTTGGTCAGTCTGTGGTCCACTTTGACCCTCCAGTCTTTTTTCCTGCACTGGTATCTAGCCCATCCTTCCCATGCCTGCCTCTGTGGAGTTGCTTTTTAGTCCTGAAGCAAATCTGGAGGGGGAGAGGCCTGAACTTTACTATACAGGCTGAGCTGTCTGATGGACATTTCATTTTTTTTTTTTTCAGAGGGTGGGATTCGTTTTAGTAGCTCATAACTGCAAAGTAAATATTACTATCCACATTTTACAAATGAGGAAACTGAGGCTGAGAGGTGAAGTGATTGCATGTCACTCATCTAGCAAGTGGCAAAGCCATGATTTGACTCCAGAACACACTATCTTTTACCCTGTAACCTCCCAACAGTCAAACGAGGCAGGTCCTGGTGAGATTAGACCAGGCGGGCCCTGGTGGCATAGTGATTAAGAGCTACTGAGAGCTATGGCTGCTAACCAAAAGGTCGGCAGTTCGAATCCCCCAGCCACTCCTTGAAAACCCTGTGGAGCAGTTCTACTCTGTCCTATAGGGTCGCTGTAAGTTGTAATTGACTTGATGGCAACAGGTTTAGAGGAACCCTGGTGGCACAGTGGTTAAAGTGCTGGAATGCTAACCAAAAGGTCAGCAGTTTGAGCCCACCAGCCACTCCGTGGGGGAAAGATGTGGCAGTCTGCTTCTGTAAAGATTACAGCCTTGGAAACCTTATGGGGTAGTTCTACTCAGTCCTATAGGGTCACTGTGAGTGGGAATCGACGGCAGTGGGTTTTTTGTTTTATTAGCAGCTAATATTTCTTGCCTGTCTACTATGCTTCCACTATTGTGCTTATTTAATCACCACACAACCCTATGAGGTACATACTGTTATTATCTCCCCTTCTATGGATATGGAAACTGAGGCTCAGAAAGGTTATTTTCCCAAGGTCACACACCTTGTGACAGTCAGGATTCAGACTCAGGCCAGACTTACTTCAAAGTCTCTGATTGTATTCACAGGCTGAGCTAGCAAAGCCCTAGGCTAGGGTTGGGGGTACCTCACAACTGTACCTGCTCTTCCAGGGATGCTCTAAAGCTGGGTTCAAGCAAGCCCTGGCCAGAAGTCCTGAAGATGATGACCGGGGAGTCCCAGGTGTCTACGAAGGCCCTCATGACCTACTTCAAGCCCCTGATGAACTGGCTGGTCACCGAGAACGTGCGGCAGGGGGAGGTCCTGGGCTGGCCAGAATTCAGCTGTTCCTTTGAAGGTTTGATTATCTGGCCCTGGTCCCAGCTTTGATCCAGCCCCAGCCTTTGCCCCAACCCCATCTTAATCCCCAGCCCATCTATGACCTGGATTGAACCAGCACAGCACTGCTGTGACCCCACCTGTACCAGGCTTGATGCAGCTTCAGTCAAGACCACAGCCCCAGCCCTTAGCTCCATTGCTTCCTTGGGCACTGTTTTACCAGCTAGACTGGCAGGCTGGCATCTGAACACAGGATCAACGTCTTGCCTCTTGACCCTTGCATGGAGCCACTGCTTGGTCCCCTGGGGTACAAAGCCCTATCTGTGCCCATCTCCTTCTCCTCTTCCTTTTACTCTTCTTTCTCACCCTCTTTCTAGGGCAATGCCCTCACCTGTGGCTTGGAAGTAGGTATCTAAGGCTGAGGGAGAAGGCCAGTGGAAGTCAAATCCTACCCGACAGCCCCAGGGAGCCCCAGGGCCCCCTCCCTGGTTCCAGCTGCTCTATGAGACTCCATGTCTTCCACAGAAAAGGAGAAGAACACATTCCTGGGGCTGGAGCTGGACAGTGACCAGGCCAAGACAGGACAATGGGTGCTGCTGGTCCTGAGCTTTGTCATGTTCCTCTTGGTCCTAATGCTGGGCCGCAGGCTGTACATCCTGTCAACAGCCCAGGACACTAAGGCCTACTTCCTGGGCATGGCTATGGAGCCCCACAAGGCTGCCAAGGGCCAGTGGATATTGCTGGGCCTCTGCGTCCTCCTGCTGGTGTGCTCAATCAGCCTGGCCATCAAGATTTTCACACAGCAGAGCAAGAAGCCTCTGTGGATGACAGCTGAGTGGTGGGGCCTGAACTAGACACCAGTGAGACTGGTAAGGCTGGGAGGGGCAGGAGGAGGGTGGCCAAACCAGAGAGGGCTGGGGGACAGGGGACAGCCTGCAAGTGGGTGCAGCTGGGCAGAATTGGGCTCATGTGGGGTTGTAATTGTGTTTGCAAACTCATGTATGCTGGGCCATGTGCACAACTGTGTGACTTCAGGTGCACCCTGGGTGTCAATCCAACCCTCTTCCGCCAGGGGCTCATGGACCACAGTTTTGGTAACCCAGTGGCTGTGTCCCTCCAAACCAGTTCCCACCCAATTCATTCTCAGGACTAGCTCTTCACACAGTCCTGTTTTCTTCAGGAGCCCTGGCCGTGGGGCTGGCCCGGGGCTGCAGTGCCCAAGGAGTCTTCACTCCAGTTAGAGAAAAGATACCGCTTCTACCCCTTATAAAATGTGCTCGTGTAGAGCCAGACATTCCTTTATGAATCACTGGTGCCCAGTCTGTGAGCACTGTGCTCTTTACACTGGCCCACATACCTCTCTGCTGAATCTCTGGGCTGCACCTGGGGCGGGCTGCATAATCCAGCCCTAAAAAGCTCTTTGTCAGCTGGCCACCTGAGATGCAAGTAGCCTCACAAACTACCCCGTGGCCCTCCCTGCCCTAGCCCAGGCCCTCCTGAGTGGAGACAGTGGGTAGCAGGGCACTGAACCAGGCCTGATTAATAATTGACTTCTTTAATATTTAAACAAAGCTCATCTCCAGCCACTCCACTCCAGAGATGGCCCTGTTCAACACACACACCTGCTGCCTGGCCCGTTGCCCTGGGAAGCGAGCATAGGGCAAACAGTACCTTTCCAGGCTCAGTGAGGGAGGGGGCAGGGAGGGAAGGCTGCAGGCAGACATCTGGGAGTGAGTGCTCTAGGTATAAACCTGGGAAGGGAGGGGGAAGGCTCCTTTCGGGGTCTGCCTGCCACAGCCATGTCACACCCAATATTTGGAGACTCATCAGGTCTAGACTGAGGTCCTGGGGAACCTGGGAGGTCAGTGCCTATCAGAGGTTGGGGGTGGACTTTGAGGGGAGACAGTATCATAGCCAGTACCCACAGAGAAGGGGCACGAGGGCTACATTTGAGCTGGTGGGAGGGTGGCCAAAAGATGGGACCAGCTCCTTCTAGATTAAGGGTCAGCCTAAGTAGTCAGGTCCCAGGCTGGCACCTCTGCAGACTCTACTTTTGCCCAGTTTTGAGATACAGGATGTCCTGGGTGGTGGAAATGGGTAAGCAAAAGGTTGGCAATTTAAATCTACCCACCCAAAGGTGCCTCAGAAGAGATGTCTGGCAATCTACTTCTGAAGGTTCACACCCTATGTGCATTTCTACTCTGAAACACATGGGGTCACCATGAGTCAGAATTAACTCTACGGCAACTGGTTTGGGTTGGTTGTTTCTTTTCCTGAGTCCTAGCTGAGCTCAAGCACTGGCCACTCCAGCCCCAGGCTCCACAGCATCCTCCTTTGATGTATCTGCCACTGCTCTTACTTTGCTGTGGCATAATGTCCCTATCTGCCCATTGCTAGCTGTTAGCTCTGTAAGGGCAGGGCACGTGTCAGGAGTGTGCCCCCGGGTAAAATCTGGGGCCTGCCCAGGCCAGGGCACATAGTGGGGACTTGGAAAATGTTTGAATAAGTGAATACGTGAATGAATGAGAGTCCCCCTGCCCAGGTGCCTCAGAGCTCGACACCCACGGCACTGAGCCCACAAGAAACAGCCCCACCTTTCCTCCACAGCCCGCCTGCCCTTCCACACACAGGGGCAACCAGGACACCTCTGCCCCCCAGGAGGCCACACTTGCAGTCCTTCCATCCCCCCCACCACAGTGGTCAACGAGGCCCCCACAAGACATTGTGGCTTTTTGAGGCAAAGGCACACCCAGACCAGGACTCCAAGACTCTCGCCTGGACTCCAGCAAAAACCTCACTGAGCCTCCTTGTCCACTTTCCTTCCTCCACTCACCATTGTAAAGTTTATTTTACCAGAATATTTCCTTTATGCCTAACTGCCTAAAAACTTGGCTTTTACCAAGTTTATCATCAATTAAATCTAGACGTTGAAAATGGCATCTGAGGGTCTTTATCCATTATCCCTTTCCTCCAACCTCACCTCTCCTACCCCCAGCTCAGTCCCTCTACACCGACCCCCTCCCATTGGCCTTTACCTAAGGTGCATACCCCACTTAAATGCTTGTCCTTGAAGGCCTGGCCCAAACTGGTCATTGGACCCTCTAAAGTTTCAAGCCCACAAGACGCTCAGTGAACAGTGGTCCCTTCTCCTCTCCAAGAAACCTCCTTCCATAAACCTTACCCTACCCCATCTGCTCCTCGGATTGTGCTCATGTTCAATCAACACTTGGCCAGTTTTATCAGTGGGCACTCACTAACAAGTGGTTTTAAATCTGTCCTCCTTTCAAGCAGGGCTGGCTATGCTAAGAGCTCTCAGGCTTCTGGTGAAGGCATTTTATTGCATATTTCTTACATGCCTTCATGTGTGCTCCTTCCCCATCCTCCCTGGAGGGAGCATTGCGTGGGCACTGGGGTTCAGCTGGAGGGCACTCGGCAAGGGCTGGCAGGAGGCCTAATGGGCCCAGCAGTCAGAACTGGAGAGAGCAAAAGACCTGAGTCCCCCAACAACCCCTTCTGCCCGCCTGCTGCCCTGCCTGGGAGGGGATCGAGAGGGGCTGAGGGGAGCCTTTGGGACAAAAGCAGAAGCTTCTCAGAGAAGCCCTGCCTCATTCCAGGCCCAGGACCCCCGCCCCGCCCCCTAGGAGTCAGGACCCCGCCCCTGCCCCGTCCAGCCCGGGCGGAGTTGCCCTCGCCGCCGCCACCTCGCCGCTTGTTTCAGCACCGCGGCGCGGACAGTTCCCGGGCTGGCGCGGTGGGGAGGAGGTGCCGCGAGAGGCGGGCCAGGGAGGGCGGGGAGGGCAGGGAGAGCTGAGGCGGGCGGGCGGGGCACGGAGCCCGGCGGCCCTCCCCGGGGGCGGTGCCCACCCGGAGCCGGACGTCGCTGAGCCCGAGGACTGGCGGAGACTTGGGGGAACCTGGGCCCCTGGTGGCTCCGGGCAGGGACCGCGGCGAAAGGATGCCGGTCCGCAGGGGTCACGTCGCGCCTCAAAACACTTACCTGGACACCATCATCCGCAAATTCGAGGGGCAGAGTGAGTATGTTTGTTGGGATAAGGGACGATCTAGAGTACTGGGACGGTGGCAGGAGGGGCTAGACCCCTTTACAAATTTGAAATGTTGGGAGAGGGGGGAGCGGATGGCGTGCCGGATGCTGGCTGCGGAAACCCTTCGATGTCCCTGTCCCGGAACACCTTCTCCTCCAGCGGTCCCCACTTACCTCAGACGCCATCCCTCTTCCCAGCCTGGAACAGGAGGACAGAGCGCAGCCCCCCTCCCCCACCCCAGCTTCCTGCTGATGCCCCAAGCCCTGAACTCCCCATCTAATCACTGCCCTGCTTCCCTCTCTGCCCCCTCCCCAATGTCTCCAGAGGATTCCTTGACTCCCTCCTTCCCTCCCCATGTCCCTGGCCACCTGGTCTTCCCAGGAGCTCTCGCCAGGCCTGGCCCTCCCAGGAGCTCTCACCAGGCCTGGCCCCCATCCATCTGGTCACATCACTCCCTCCTCACTGCCTCCTGGAGGCCTTGAAGCTTCTCTCACCCTGCCTCACTGGTCCTTATCACCCTGGTCTTCCCACAATCCCCAGACCTGAAGACTCCCTCTCTCCCCCTTCTTAGGTCACTGTCCTGCTCCCCCTCCTGAAGGCTTCTCTCATTACCCCCAGGAGTCCTCATGACCTTCTTCCATGACCCTGGCCTCCTCGGTCTTCCCACACTCTGCCTTCTCCCATTCGGGTTGCTGCTCTGCTGCCCAACCAGATGCCCCCTCACTACCCCCAAAACTCCACATGATCTTTCCCTCCCTGACCCCCAACCCTGGCTGCCATGGTCTTCCCACCCCACCCTCCACCCCAGGTCGTAAGTTCCTGATTGCCAATGCTCAGATGGAGAACTGCGCCATCATTTACTGCAACGACGGCTTCTGTGAACTCTTCGGCTACTCCCGCGTGGAGGTGATGCAGCGGCCGTGCACCTGCGACTTCCTCACAGGCCCCAACACCCCGCGCAGTGCCATGTGCCGCCTGGCACAGGCCCTGCTGGGGGCCGAGGAGTGCAAGGTGGACATCCTCTACTACCGCAAGGATGGTGAGGCGCCCTCGGCCAGAGGTTCTGCAGGGCAGGCTGGCCCCTCTCTTGTCCAGCCAGGGTGGCCTTGGGGAGGGCACAGACCCAGGGACCAAAAGGTCTAGACAAAGCCCCTCCCCTCGCTGGGCCTCGGTTTCCTCATCCATAAGGTAAAGTGATGGGCATCGGATGCCATGCTTTCCAGGGACTAGATTCCAGGAAGCCACTGACTGATTGGTCCTGGCCCTGGGCAGGGCCTCTCATTCTATCATCCCTCCCCCATGTCCCCAGTCTCCTGCTGCCCATTCTGTCACTGTCAGCCCCAGCTGTCAGGCAGCTGGGATGGAAATTAACCTTCCTTCATCTCTGTCTGCTCTGAGGATTAGGGGAGGAGTCACCCCCTCAAGGCCTCTGTGGTCAGGCAAGGAATGGGGGCTGCTGGCTGGGAAACGGGTGGCCTGGCTCACCCAGCTCCAGCTCCTTGGGGAGGTGGAGTGGGTTTGCACCAACCTAGAGGCTCATCCAGATGGAGTCTGAGTTGTTACTGCCAGCCCAAGCTCACTGCAAGCAGAACAGAAGCAGTCGGACCCCCATAGGGCAGGTACTGAGGACAGAGTTCAGCAGCCCCTTGAGACCCTTCCCCTAAGACTTCAGGGTCCCCACTGGACTGGGGGTGGTGGTGTGTGGGTGAGAAATAGGATCAATGCCTGAAAGTCCCTTTGAAATCATTGAAATCAATGGCCCCCAAACCTAGTTCTGCATCGGAATTACCTGAGGCATGTTTTCTAAAACATACCTTCCCCAGAGGCTGACTCAGAAGGTGCAAGATAAGGCCCAAGCAGGTGTTTTTGGAAAAATCTCTCTGGCAGTTCTGATATTCTGCCACATTTAGGAACCACTGGTTTAGATAAAGGAGCCCTGGTGGCGCAGTGGTTAAGAGCTCCGCTGCTAACCAAAAGATTGGCAGTTCAAATCCACCAGCCACTCCTTGGAAACTCCATGGGGCAGTCCTATAGGGTCGCTATGAGTTGGAACCGACTCGACGACACCTAACTAACAACAACACAACAGGCTTAGATAAATCCCTTCATTTCATGGATGAGAAAGTGGAGGCTGAAGGAAAAGGAACTTGCCCAAGATCCCACTGTAACAGTCCAAGCTGGGGCTGGAGCCCAAGTTTCTGGATTCCTCCCTCAGTGATATCTGTTCTGAGTAAGCCCAAGAGGGAAGAAAGGACCCCCAACTGCCCCTCTCTTGAAGGTGGGAGTTTTGGAGAAGGAAGCTCCCAGAAGAGGGGTCTCCCCCTCCCCATCAGGGAAGGCAGGCATGAGGGCAACCTGTGCAGAGAAAGGGCAGGCTCCTTTGGGTTGGGAGTGGAGGGTTGCTGACAGCCTGTGTCCCAAGGGCCTGGTGTGTGTGTGGAGTATGAGTGTGAATGTGAGCATGTTTGTGTGCATGTATGTGTGGTGGTTCACCGGCTCCTGGGGCACTTCTTGGGCAGGTCCTTGCTGTCACCATGGCCAGGACTGACCCTACTGCTGCCACCCAAATGAGCAGCAGGTGGGGTGTGCACCAGACAGGGGCAGCGATTAGGGGATTAAGAAGACTGTGGCTTAGCTTGGCAGTACTCACAGGGTTAATGAAGTCAGAATATTTTTCAAAGCTGTGACCTCACCTCCTCCTATCATGGCAGGGAGGAGGTGACAGTCGAGGAAATGAGAAGGGTCCCAGGGGAACAGGATGGGACATAAGGAAATGAGGGGGACAACAGGTCCTCTCTGTCACTCTCCTTGGTCCCAGAGCTCTTCCTGGGCCCCAGAGGGGTGAGGCTAAACCCAGACTCCTAGGGATGTCAGACTAGGGATCTTGGGGGAGGGGGTCCCTTCAGCACTCTGCATGTGCCTGGGCAGGGGGCATAGGTCAAGGCTGGGCATTGGCCCCCTGAGATCAGGACTCAGGCCTTCAGAACTCTGCTGGCATCCCATTACTCTAAGGGAAGGATGTGGTACTCAGGTAACTTGTGTTCACCTTATGCTCCACTATGACCACATGATCTTTTTTTTTTTTTTTAAATCATGTTACATACATCTTGCAGTCCTACTGAGGAGTATCCCGATGGTGATTTCTTCTAGCCTCAAATCAGTACCTCCTCTTCCCACCCCTGACTCTAAAGAGGTGGAAAGAAGTCCCGAACAGAACTCTAGCTGATTTTTTATATCTTCTTTTCCTCTAAAGGGGTAATCCGCTGGCAATTCTCCAAGTCAATGTAGAAGGTCTGTGTCCATATGTGTCCATGTTGTGTAGCTGCATAAAGTTGGCCTCAGAGAGACCAGGGCACTTGACAAAAGTCACCCCATGAGACAGGGCTCAGAGACCCCTGAGAAACTGCCTCTCCCTCTCCCTGCCTTTGGTAGGAAAAGCAGGAACCTAACAGAGATAAGGAGGAATGGGCGTGGGGCAGGACTAAAACCAGTGAGAGAGTTCAGGGAGGGATAGAGAGTACTCAGATCCTCCCACCCTTACTCCCACCCCCACTGGGTTCCTGCCAGAGGGGCCCAGACCTGCCTGCCTCACTGAGTCCTCTTCTCTTATGATCCCAAACCAGGGATCACCCTAATCCCCAAGCCAGACTGGGGGAGGCCTGGGGCTTCCAGTCCTCAGCTCCAGAGGCAAGGGCTGAGGTCAGGGGCCACTAACTGCCCCCACTCATTGATTTCTGCATGCTCACCCATGAATGCCAAGAGGACCACCCTGGAGACAGCTTAGAGCAGCCATCCTCTTGGTGGCAGCTTTTTGTAGCACCTGCTCCCCCCTGAGGTTCAGCACAATGCTGGAGGGATGTGCATACAGACACAGCTGAAGGACAAAATGGAGGCTGTGCAGAGGAGGGGGTGAGAGCCAGAGCAGGGAGCGTGGGGGTAGGGGCGGAAGCCGGGAGAAAAGGAAGAAGCACGTTTGAGAGGGAGAGAAGAGCAGAGAGAAGTGGGATGTCCTGGGGTGGGGGGGGTCAGATAAACCTATTGCCCTTGGTCAGAGAAGTGGGGTGCCAGGAGGAGCCCCCAGAAGGGAGAAAGGAGCAGAGACTGGAACAGCCACTCTTGCATATAACCTAGAGTGCCACACTCGCCTACTTCTGGCCACCCAGGCACAGCTATGGGGCTCTGAGACATGATGGGCAAGGACAGCTATGGAGCAGGGGAAAGAATGCTCTGGACTCGCTTCCAGATTCTCGTCACCTCTCTGCCCACCCAACAGGCAGCGAGCATGCAGGTGGGGCATGAGGGCCATGCACCCTCTCCTCTGCCAACCCTTACCACTGTGAAGGGCTGGTCTTTAGTTCGCTCCTATCCTCAGTTTTCCAACAATAGAATCAATGGATGAGTACAGCTACTCTAAGACCAGGCTTGGCAGCCCCCAGCAGCCCAGAGTCCCTGCCACTCTGCTCAGCCCTGCACTCTCCCTGCCTCCTGCCAGGCCATTCTCTGCAGGGCCAGAGAGATGAAGGATAGAGTCTGGCCTGGAGGTCAGTGTTTCAGGCTGCTGGCCAGGAGGCATCCTGTCTAGGTCCTGGTGCCCAAGCCTTGCAATTCTCCCTGGTAAGAGTGAGTGAAGCCCCGCCCCCCTCCATCACTGGGAGCCCAGGAGTGGGTCAAGCCAGGCAGCGGCCTCTCGGTGTGGATGTCTCCCCCGGGGCCCAGCACAGCAGCTGGCAGATGGCTGCCTGGTGCCTGGGAGTCCGGGAATCTGATCCAGGAGATTCCTG